CCCCAAACTCCACGCCCTGGACCCTGAAGCTTACACTCAACCCCCCTCCTCCCCCTAAACCCCAAACCTCAAACCCCAAACCCTAAACCCTAAACCCTAAACCCTAAACCCTAAACCCTACACCAGCCACCTGCTTCTCGGTCCACTCCCCCGACTCCGGCAGCGCCGAGCGAAAGGCACGGAGGATCTTCTCATGCTGGCTCTGCCGCTCAGGCGACCTTTGGGAGGTTTGGGGTGTTGGGTTGGTGTTCTAGGCTCAGTTAAGGAGCATCTAGGCCGTTTACAGAGTCAAGGTTCTCAATGTCGGGCAAAGCTTTGACCCAAGCCATGGCCGTCACTCCCTGCACCGGTCTCCACGATTCGTTTTGCACTCTTCATGACTTCGGGAGGGTGTCACCACACTACAGCAGTACAGAGCGCAGGCCGGAAATGCCAGCCGGGACACATTCCCGCCGTCGTGGCCATGCTTTGCGCAGAGGCGGCCGGCCCGGCCGCGGTGGGATTTGCGCCACCGCCCCCGGTGCCCGAGACACCCCCCCGAGCCACTGTTGCAGCTGGCGCAGGCAAGGAGCAGTTGAAACAAAGTGGCTTTTGGGACCTCTTCAGCTTTCCGTCGTTTGCTTCAATTTGTGTTAAATGACAGGATCGGCCGTCTGTTCCTTTCCGAATCCGCAGCCTGCACCCTCTTCGGAGGTACGACCCCGTAGCAAACGAACAGCTGGGTGGAGAGCTAGCTGCCGAGTGGACAGGGCCGAGGGGATAGGGTAAACAGGGATAAGGGTGTAGGGTTTCTCTCTCTCTCTCTCTGTCTCTCTGCCTCTCTCTCTCCCTCCCCCTCTCTCTCTCTGACGTTCTTTCCTTCCTTCTGCGCTCATGGCCCCCCTCTCCCGAAGGAGGAGGGCCGCCCCGAAGGCCTCTCTCTGAGTCTCTCTCTCACGAGAGAGGTCACATCTTTTACGCCTCCGGCCCCTCCGCCGCTGTGGTCTCCGCGGCTTCTGCCTCCTCCACAGCGTCCTCCTCGGCCGGCGGCGCGTTCTCGGCTGCTTGCCTCGTGAAAAGTCTGGCAACGCATGGGAATAAATCAGAAGCACCCGCATCAAAAAGAACATACGAACTGTGAAACACTGGCTGGCAAAGTTAAGAAGCAAAATCAAGCCGACGCCCAAGGGTTTAGGGTTTAGGGTTTAGGGTTTAGGGTTTAGGGTTTGGGCTTTCCTCCAGGCCTCTTCCGCGGATCCTCAACGATAGAGGCCCGCTCCAGAAGCTGTATGGCCTCCAACTCGAAACAGTGCGCGCGTCACCGAAACCACAATGACAGTGGCAAACAACGAGTAACAACAAACTTCTACAAGTAACAGTAGCAAGAGCAATAACTCAGATAACATAAATTGAATACATTAAGTAACTTGATGAATTAAAATAATATAAAATGATTTAAACAATTTCAATAAACACGATACTTTTTCATGAAGGTGATTGGCTTCGCAGTTCTCAGAAGGCCTGCCGCCTGCTGCTGGGGCTTGACGAGTCTACCGAAGGCCTGGCCCTGAGAAGTCGGCCCGTTTACCGTGAGCTCGACGTGGTCGGCACATGAGGGCTCGTCTCCCAAGCTCAAGGACCCTAAACCCTAAATCCTAGTCCTAAACCCTAAACCCTAGATCCCAAATCCTAAGCCCGGACCTGCCGAAAAGCAAGGCCTCGACGTGCACAGTCTGCGGGAAGGAGTCCACCGCCACGGTCCGCACAGGAATGAAATCGTCCGCCTCCTCCTAACTAATGTACTACTACTTGCTTAAGAACCCCCCAAAAAAAACATAGGCGACAATAATCCCTATATTGCCCTGACAAGGAAGCGTATGAAAATTAGGGGGTGCTGTTCTTAAGCAACGAGTAGTGTAAATAACCTGTCCCATCTCACCACAGGCATGCCACACTTTTGAGCGAGCAGTCTGATGCGCTAGAGCACCCTCCACCATCAAATTCCAGCCATCCCGCCCCCATGCCCATCCATGCCCATCCATCCTCTGTCGAGGAACCAAGCTTTGCCACGTCCTGCTCAAGGCCATGGTTGTGGGGACCACAGCCAGAAGAAAGCTCAAGACTAGCTAGCTACTAGCCCGCCTCTGCCATGCTCTCCACATTGCAGCCTCGGGCCGTCTTGGGCACGGCTCCGCATCATGCCGTCCCCCCCCCCAGAGCTGCAACTGCAAGAACGTGCTGCGCAGCCCCGCGTCAGCACATGCCTGCACACATCACTCGTGACACTTCGGCTGTCCGAGGCCAGCACTGATGTACACGATGCGCAGGACCTGTGTGCGCCTGGACAACGACAAACCTATACTCCCCTTAGAACCTTAAAAAAAATAGTATCTTGAATATCCTCCCGGGTTGTATAGAAACAAAAAAGAAATAAAAATGAAAAAAATAAATAAACAAACTAATTCCCAAAGGGGGATATAGAGGCGAAAAGCAGCGCCAACCCAAGCAGCTTGAGGCCCGCGCCCGCGGAGAATGTCCACCAAGCGCGGGTGCAAACCTGGCACCCTAACCCGAAACCCTCGAAACCCTAAACCCTAAACCCTAAACCCGAAACCCTAAACTGGCTTCCGTGAGATGATCTTTGCATCTGTTTGCACCACTGCCCGAGGCCCCACCCCACCAAAACCTCCCCAATGACAAACCTGAACCCGACTTGTCCCACAGCTGAGCCGATCGGATTTCTTAATATACGAATACAGAAATGTAAGATTATGCTAGTGAAGTAATATAGAAATATGAATAGTAATATAGTACTATAGTGAAAAAATGATATAATCGTACGGCCGCCTTGTCTTTTGTCCACGCTTAGAGCCCGCTGCGCCAGCGAGGAGGCTTCCCGGAGTGAGGGTCCCCTTTTACAAGCCATTTCCGAGCTTCTGAGCCCTTCTCTCTGAACCCTAAACCCTAAACCCTAAACCCTAAACCCTAAACCCTAAACCCTAAACCCTAAACCCGAGGGATCGGCTTCATGTTCGTTGCAAGCTGTTGCTAAAAGGCCCTGTAGAGCTTCTCATATCGGACAAACTTCCAAGCCTTCCGTTGGAAGGGACTGGAGCTTCCACGAAAAGTTGCTGACTTAAAGAGGACCCTTCTTTGGGGTTTAGGGTTTAGAGGGTTTAGAGGGTTTAGAGGGTTTAGAGGATTTAGAGGATTTAGAGGGTTTAGAGGGTTTAGAGGGTTTAGAGGGTTTAGAGGGTTTAGAGGGTTTAGAGGGTTTAGAGGGTTTAGAGGGTTTAGAGGGTTTAGAGGGTTTAGAGGGTTTAGAGGGTTTAGAGGGTTTAGGGCTGCCTTGAAGGGGACCCTTCTTTCAGAAACCAGTGGCCCCGGCTGATGTGACTCGACTCGAAAGCGAGGCAGCATCGGCAATGCGATTCAAGGCAAGGTGGGGGGGGGGGGGGGGGGGGGGGGGGGCTGACGATCTAAAGATGAGCGGGCTAAAGATGAAGAACCCAAAACAAAAACTTAAAAAAACCAAAAACAAAACTAAAAAAACCCGAAAAACCCTAAACCCTAAAAAATCCTTGAAACCCAGGTGCTCCAAGCAACCTTCGCCTTGCAAGGTTCGAGGGAGATCCCTGGGATCTCTTCCATGCCCAAACCTTCTTGTTCTTAGGGAAGGGTTTAGGGTTTAGGGTTAGGGTTTAGGGTTTAGGTTTAGGGTTTGGGGTTCAGGGTTTAGGGTTTAGGGTTTAGGGTTCAGGGTTTAGGGTTTAGGGTTTAGGGTTTAGGGGCGTTCTTAGCAGGGAATGAGGGTATGAGGTACTCTATATAATCCCTTAAAGGGTATATGTAGGGCCCTAATTCCCTCATTACCCTAAACCCTAAACTTAGGGCTCAGGGTTTAGGGTTTAGGATTTAGGGCTGAAGATCGTTGGCGCAGAGGGACTCCGGCGGAGGCGAGCCCCCCTTCCCAAGCCCACACCTGTACACTAGCATATAAATCCTGCACAGCCCCGGCGTCGCACCATGCCGCTCTCTTTGAAGCAAGGAAATTTGCAAGCGGGGTTAGGGTTTAGGGTTTACAGTTTACAGTCTACGGTTAAGTTAAGGGTTTGGGGTTTATGTAAGGTTCAAAGTAGTAACGTTGAGCCCCTACAACCTCAGGTTGCAGCTACCCTGGAACTGCCAAGTAAGAATGGTTTCGGCTACTCTTGCGGGCCATGCAGGATCTGTCTCACCTGCTTGTGGCCATCCTTCTCGCTGCGAGCACAACCAATGCAACATAAGGAATGCAGCATAAGGAAGGGCCTGGCAGCGGCATAGAATCAGACGGCCAGCTTTCTAACTTAGAGCCCCCTTTGGGGCCTTAAGTACCAGGGCGCATAGGGCCCGTGCTACAATCCGCCGAGGCCTGGGCCATGGGGGCATGGGGAGCGTAGAGGTACCCCCCCCCCCCCCCCCTAGCCAGGGGCATTTACGCCCCCACCATTTGGGGCCCACCGTTCCCCCCCCCCCCCCCCAGCTTGTTTCACTGGTATTGCCACTTTCACATTTGGGGTGCCTGGTCTGTGCATGAGCCTCCCCAAAAGGGGATGATGGCGCATCAGTCAGTGCCTTTTCTAACAACACGGTCCCATCCGCGATCTCCGTCTTGGGTTGCCTCACATGGCAGGGTGCAGACGGGTCGCGTAGCGTGAAAAGGTTGCCCCAATTTTACGGCACCTGCCATATCAGACGGAACTGATAGAGCATGCAAAGAATGGAACCAATGCCCGCAGCACGAGAAAGGAAGCCCTGTTGCAGCCCTATGGAGTAGTGGGTATTCACATCCTACGGCAGGGCCTCCGATACTTGAGCAGAAGAGGACTAAGAGGACCTGAAACAAACAGCAATAAGTCATGGAAGGAGAATGCTGTGCCAAAACAGCTGCTCGCGGTCAAACTCCCCGACGCGGGTGAGGAGGCCCTGCCACATCTCATTAGCCGTAGACGGAGGAGGCTTGCACGGAGCCGTGCACGGGCTCAATTCGCGAAACGAGCACCTTCGTCAGCCCAGTACCACATGCGCATGCGACCCTTGCCTGGCTAAGGATGCGAAAGAGATTGTCCGACAACGCGTTTCTACAACCCTAAGCCCTAAACATCCTTAAACCCCAGCAGGCTGAGAATGCGCCGCATCTTTGTTCCAAGCCGAACCCATGAAAGCGCGCCTGCCAGATGCCTCAACTCTGGTCGATGTGCACGTCTGTTGCACACTCCCAGTGCCCCGGTTCGGGTGCAGGGTTGAGGGTTTAGGGGTGAGGGTTGGGGCTTAGGGTTTAGGGTGCTTTTGCGATACTCAGCTCGGCGTTCGGAGACTTGCCAAAGTGAGATCACAGGTTCCGTGCGGACCCTAAACCCTAAACCCTAAACCCTAAACCCTAAACCCTAAACCTAAACCCTAAACCCTAAAAGGGGGGGGGGATGTGGGAGCTCTCAGGCTCAAGATTCCGAAGCCTTCCCAGTCCAAGCTTTATAGAACTCCTGCCCCAAAAAGCCCAGAAGCCAACCTCAAATCCTCAACCCCAACCAATTCGAACCCTAAACTCTAAGCCCTAAGCCTCAACCCTGAACCCGAAACCCTAAACCCTAAACCCTAAACCCTAAACCCTAAACCCTAAACCCTGAACCCTGAACCCTGAACCCTCAACCCAAGCAAGCTCCACAAGCCAAGGCACCTCCAGACGCCTGCAAAGCCAAGGGTCGAATCTGGGGGGTCACAAAAGGCCCATGCCTTCCTTAGGGTTTAGGGTTTAGGGTTTAGGGTTTAGGGTTTAGGGTTTAGGGTTTAGGGTTTAGGGTTTAGGGTTTAGGGTTTAGGGTTTAGGGTTTAGGGTTTAGGGTTTAGGGTTTTACTTCAGGGTTTCAGTTCGAGTGGTTTACGATTTAGGGACTAGGGTTTAGAGGCGAACAGTTCGTCTTCCACTGGATTGCCAAAAAAATGACAATGAGGGGGGCGAGATACCCCGCATCTGAGCTAAACCCAAAAGCCTTCTGCATCTGGGCTCGCAACGATGGCCAGAAACCCTAAACCCTGAGCCCTGAACCCTAAACCCTAAACCCCAAGCCCTTTTTGCATCCGGGCTATGATGTCCTGGCCGGAAAGTTACCCTAAACCCTAAACCCTGACCCTAAACCCTAAACCCTAAATCCTAAACCCTAACCCTAAACTGCCCTAAACCCCGAGCCGCAGGGCCTGGCTCGGATCGATCAGGAAGCCGAGTCCGGAAAGCTGTCCCGCCAAATGCATCTGCCAGACCTGAAACCTGGGTTTCGACGCTCACTCTCGGAGGAGGGTTTGGGGTTTGGGGTTTAGGGCTTAGGGTTTTTTCACCCGTCTAGCAAAGCTCCACGGGGCAACTGCTGGGGTTTAGGGTTTACGGTTTAGGGTTTAGGGTTCAGGGTTTAGGGTTGAGGGTTGAGGGTTTAAGCCCTAAACCCTAGGGCTTGGGAGATCACAGGGTTCATAGTCCACAAATCTGACGAGGGGCGGAACTGCCTGGATGCCCTGCATCGCTGTGGGCATGGAGGCGGCAGCCGGCCTTGTAGGGGCAAGTGGGTAAGGGCTGAGGGCCCTAAAAACTCCAATTTTGTCTCACGGAAGATCCTTACCCTAAACCCTTTAACCCTAAAACCTTTTTAGTTCATATCATCATAAGTAGGGCGCCTGCGGTGAGGAGGAGGAGGTGATGGTAATTCTATATAACCCTACATCTGACTACCCATGGCCCATCAGAGCCTCCGCCCATGATTCTCCAAGTACGGCTTCAAAATCCTGCTACTTGCTTAAGAATCCCCAGACACTACTTGCTTAAGAACCCAAAAACCTCAAAGATCATCATCCCTGTAGTACCCTGATAAGGAAGAAGTTTGTGGTGGGATCTTAGGCAAATACTAAGATGTGGGTTGTTTCTGAGCTTTCACGCTCTAAGCTCAAAAATCAGGATCGAAACCCAAGCCTGTCACATCGTTTGGACTTGCGGGTGGGAGGGCTTCGGGGTTTAGGGGTTTAGGGGTTTAGGGGTTTAGGGGTTTAGGGGTTTAGGGGTTTAGGGGTTTAGGGGTTTAGGGGTTTAGGGGCTTAGGGGCTTAGGGGCTTAGGGTTTGGGGTTTAGGCTTTCAGGCAGTTCTAAGAGTTCTGAGGTTGTTGATGTCTAGGACTGCCACATCGGGCACCCGAAGGGCTCTCTTACGTCCGAGCCCTGAAGCCCGAAACTCTCCCTGAGCACCTTTCAAAGGCCCGGCAGGCGGCGTCATCTCGCTCTCTCTCTCTCTCTCTCTCTCTCTCTCTCTCCCTCTCTCAACACTATACACTGCCCAAAGAGCCCTCAACCACCAGTCAGACACAACCCCCCCCAAACAGGTGCCACGGGGCGGGGCTTCCTCCGAAGCATACTCCCACGTTTGTGATATCAGCGACCAGTCTGGCTCAAAGTAGCCGGGGAAATCGAAAGCGCCATCCTGGAGGTGGGTACGTAGTCACTGTGACCAGAAGTAGCAGTGGTGTAGTAGTGGTAGTGGTGGCAGTAGTGGCAGTGGTGGTAGTGGTGGCAGTGGTGGTGGCAGTCGTGGCAGTGGTGGTAGTGGTCGCGGTGGTCGTGGTGGTAGTGGTGGTAGTGGTGGCAGTGGTGGTAGTGGTGGCAGTGGTGGTAGTGGTGGTAGTGGTGGTAGTGGTGGTAGTGGCGGTCGTGGTGCTAGTGGTGCTAGCGGTCGTCGCGGTCGTGGTCGTCGTGGTCGTCGTGGTCGTTGTGGTCGTCGTGGTCGTCGTGGTCGTCGTGGTCGTCGTGGTCGTCGTGGTCGTCGTGGTCGTGGTGGTCGTGGTCGTGGTGGTCGTGGTGGTCGTGGTGGTCGTGGTGGTCGTGGTGGTCGTGGTGGTCGTGGTGGTCGTGGTAGTCGTGGTGGTCGTGGTGGTCGTCGTGGTGGTGGTGGTGGTGGTCGTGGTGGTGATGGTGGTGGCGGCAATACAAATAGAAGTCGTAGTAGTATCACAGCAATTAGAAGCCGCAAGAAAATAACAAAAGCACCAACCTAATGACGATGGTATTGAAAAAATATTGCTGATGGCAACAATGACAACTTCAATGGCAATGCACTGATAACGGTAACTGAAACAATAAGGGCAAATACATTCATACTGGTCACGCGAAGGGTAATGAACGACGAAAGGAGCTCACCTAGAAGCATCGCAGTCCGACTGTCAGCGGACGCCTGATTCACCCGAACCTCCGAGTCCTCTCTTGACAGCTAGCATTGTAAGGCTGTTCAGGCCTGCATCAGTGTGGTCTGCCACGCCCCCATCGCGCAGTCCACCCAACCTTCCAAGGAGACCGCTAAACCCTGAACCCTGAACCCTAAACCCTAAACCCTAAACCCTACATACCCCACGACACCAAGCACTGCACTCCAAGGACAGACTTGCAGACTTCGGGGGGGTGCTGGATGCTGGCGCAAGGCCTTCAGGCGTCAGGTCCGGTGGGTACCCTGCCGCTCCCGGGTACCTCAGCTGGAAGCCCACAAAATGTTCACGGCATATTGGGGTTCAGGGTTCAGGGTTCAGGGTTTAGGGTTTAGGGTTTAGGGTTTAGGGCTTAGGGTTTGGAGTATCTTCCGCCGTGCCTTTGCATCAGCGCTACGTGTGGATGTTCGACGTTTAGGAAGGCCAGGCAACTGTCCGATTGCGAGAAGACACTCAGATCAGTCCTCGTCCTCGACGCTATCCCAGCAGAAGGAGGTTCATGCGTAGGGCCGGCATAGCTGTAACTGGTTACAAACTTATGTGAGGCACACATAACTCTACTCATAACTACCCACGAACCTCCAAGTATGAAGTTATGGGGTGGTATGCCGCACACAAAGCCGGTGAAATCACATCAAGGGCATAGGGCTTAGGGTTTCAGATGTTCCCGTGATCACGATCGAGTCAACAGCGTAGATACAGCACCTTGCTAAAGTATTGAGCACCTGTGGCTCCAGAGCCCTTAGAAAACCCTAAACCCTAAACCCTGAAAGGAGAAGAGCATCCCAGGCACAAGGGCTGCAAAGTGGGGGGTTTCCGGAATTGGGGGGTGCCTTATTGGGGTCCTTATGAGAAAGGCATCCTACTCCTACTCTTTGGGGGAATATATTTGGGGCCCCGTGTTTTCCGTAAACGCTAAACTACCCTAAACCCTAAACCCTAAACCCTAAACCCTAAACCCTGAACCCTAAACCTAAAAGTCGAAGGCCAAGTTGCAGAGGTCCGGTGCTGGATGGGTCTGCGAGGAGCTGCTGCGCTGCCACGTGCAGGCCGACGGGCCTCTAAGACTAGTTGCAAGGTCCCTTAGCATAAGGGCCCTTTAAAAACGGGTTTAGGGTTTAGACTTTAGGGTTTGGGGTTTAGGGTTTAGGGTTTAGAGTTTAGGGTTTAGGGTTTATACCCTACACAACCCAAGGGCCCATACATCAGGACCCTTTAAAGGAGGTAAGGGACCATATTAAGGGCCTAAATCACTGCTCATAGAAGGCCTCGAGAGGCGTCATCCGAGTCTTGAGACTTCTCCATGCAAAACAACTAGAAGAAGAATGCTAGGGACGGAACTCGCCCATCTACAGGTATGTTTGTATACATACATCCATACATACATCCATACATCCATACATACATACATACATACATACGTGTATATATACATTCATTCAAGACAGCCTTCTATTTACACATACAAATGCTGTCATGTCTGCACAAAGTCCCCAAGTAGAAGCGGAATCTTCGACTCTCACACTGGCATACGCGGCGCTCTCCGAACGACCAGGATGTTTGTGACAAAAAGCAACATTGCAAGGGTCGTCGCCGTAATTAGCTGGAACCAGGATGATCACAACAGTACACACCCATCATTTGTGTATCTCGCGATGCTACAGAACGTCCTGAAGGGGATTAAGGGCTTGCGCTTAAGCCTCCCGCTCACACAAGCCATGCACATTCTAGAAGTACCTGGAATAAGGGATTTGCTTGGGTTTTGGGTTCAGGGGTTAAGGGATTTATGTGTGACGCCAAGGTGCACGTAGCTGTTGCTGCTCTGGTCCGGGACACCCATTAGAGAGTTCAGTGCCTGCACAGGTGCAGCGCACGTGTTTCCACGAACTTCAACAAGCGAGCTCGTTGCCGAAGATCCCCAATCTTCAATACCCCTTCAATCAAAGCACGAATTCCAGTATGCCTTAAGACCTTCGTACGAGGTTTAGGGTTTAGGGTTTAGGGTTTAGGGTTTAGGGTTTAGGGTTTAGGGTTTAGGGTTTAGGGTTTAGGGTTTAGGGTTTAGGGTTTAGGGTTTAGGGCGTAGGGTTTAAGGTTTAGGGTTTAGGGTTTAGGGTTTAGGGTTTAGGGATTCATTGGGAAGGTAGCATTGGGGCTCTGAGGTCATGGTGTTACCTAGGCCTAGGTCTTGGGCATGCTGACGCAGATTCTCCATACCCACAGTCGGTGTAGGGTTTAGGGTTTAGGGTTTAGGGTTTAGGGTTTAGGGTTTAGGGTTTAGGGTTTAGGGTTTAGGGTTTAGGGTTTAGGGTTTAGGGTTTAGGGTTTTAGTGTTTAGGGTTTAGGGTTTAGGGTTTAGGGTTTAGGGTTTAGGGTTTAGGGTTTAGGGTTTAGGGTTTAGGGTTTCGGGTTTAGGGTTTAGGGTTTAGGGTTCAAACGCTAACTGCTGCTCCTGAAGGCAGCCAAGCTGGAAACGGCACCCCAAGCAGATCCAGGAACTAACTGCCTCTCCTAGTCCCTGGGGTTTAGGGTGTAGGGTTTAGGGTTTAGGGTTTAGGGTTTAGGGTTTAGGGTTTAGGGTTCGGGCACGGCGGGGGCACCCACGCGCCTTCCGCGCCGCGTCATCTACCTCCTGAGACCGTTCTGGGATACCAGAGCCAGAAGATTAGGGTTTCGGGTTTAGGGTTTAGGGTTTGGGGTTTAGGGTTTAGGGTTTAGGGTTTAGGGTTTCGGGTTTAGGAAGATTACAACAATCATTCGGAGCCCGACGCAGCTCGGGGTCACAAGGTTTGGGAAGGTGCGCTGTGCCGTCTGGGCGCCATGGTACCGAACCCCCCGAGCTCTAACCCCCCATGAGCCCTGAAAATTCTACGCCACTCGACCCCGTAAGCACCCCCAAAACCCTAAACCCTAAACCCTAAACCCCAAACCCCAAACCCTAAACCCTAAACCTTTCCTTCCAAGAATGGCACGCTTCCCCACCCCCCAAAGTCGCCTCCTCATCGTCTGTGGCTGGAAACACTTCCAAGGGCGTCTCTCGCTCCCCCTCCTGCTGGTGATCTTTCATGGGTTCCCCTACTACCCCCGCGAAAACTACCCCCCCCCCAGGATTAAGGCTATTTAGGGATAACTCAGCCCAATTAATGTTACCCATGAATCTTGCCTGGGGGGGCTAGAGGTGTGGGATCATGGGATGGCCCACAGCATCGTTTCGTCCCAGAAGCCCCTACCATTTAGGTATGGAAACTACACCCTACTCAGACCGAAAACCTGGCCGAACGACACCGGGGAGGCGGTGAACAAATAACCTCTGCATGCAAAAGGGGGGCAAGGGGGCGGCCTGGCCACAACCCGGGCTCGGGAAAAGCCCTTCAAAGGGCGTCCACAAAAACCTTTTGTTTGCAGCTGGGACTCAGAGATGCCAGGCATGTTGAAAACCCTAAACCCCAAAACCCTAGACCCTAAACACCCCAAGAGAGATCCGCCGCCCACAGGGGTGGGCTCCTGTGGCAGCTCTGTTGTAGCCGTGTCGTTGTCGACAGACGACGTGCTGCCACCTGGCGCCAAGGGCATTGTTGGTTGAGGGTTTGGGGTTGAGGGTTGTAGCGGATTGACCTTTGCATGAAAACGACTCGCAGAGCAGTGCCTCTGGGGCAACATGCCACCCACCCCGGGATGTGCCCCCTTATACTAACAGTCCTTAGTAGGGATGATAATAGGGGGTGCTATACTCCATATTAGGGACTGTTAGTATAAGGGGAGAGACATCACAACACCCACCCATGGTTGGGGGCTCTTGCGGGATTGAGGTGGACTTCAGGACCTATGAAGGTGACCCACGTGAGTGAAGAAGGGGATACACCCCTTAGGCACACCAGCAGCACAACACACAGGCTCCTTGAGAAGTCACCGGCAGTGCCTTGACCCGGGTCATGTGCCGTCTCGGTCGCGTCCCCCTGCCAGCCTCACTTCTCACAAAGTCGTGGTAGTTCGTCCAAGGGGGTTGGTCCACATTTTTCAGGGTTTAGGGTCTTTATGGTTTTGGGGTTTTTAGAGTTTTTTAGGGCTAAGGGGGTTTCTGGGTTCCTGTTCTCTTTCTTCTTTGGTACCCTGCACAATGACAAGGGGCATACTGCAAAAGAGGTTGCCCATGACTTAGGTCAACCCCTCCCGTCCATCCAATATAGGGGTCTGAAGAATTACTCATGTTATTCCCTTGCGGTCCCTATATATCAAACTATACTATACTCAAATCCCTATTCTAATCATTAAGGCCCCTAAAGAGTAAACAAAGCCAGCAGCTATCTATGCTCTTGCGTTTGCCGCTTGGGAGTTCGGATTTCCAGGTTCCATCTAGAACTCCTGGTCAAGCCAAGCTGCAGTCTTCCGGACCATCCTTTGTTTGGGATCCCGCTCCCACGCTCGAGCCATCACCGTTCCATAACCCCCCTTAGAACCACCAAAAAAAATGCTCATACATCCCTGGCTGCCTTATAGTAACAATAACAAAGCCGTCTTCCTAAGGAGACGATACTTAGGAGACGATACTTAGGAGACGATGGTTTTGCACCACGACTTCCGATATGAGGGGTATCTCATACAATTCAGGATGCCCTTTTGTGGGTGGTCCTTTTGAGGGAGTCGATTATGTTTGCTGTATAGCCTCGGACATTCTGTAAACCCTGAACCTTGCAGCTGTTTTGGGAAAATGCCCCTTTCTGTCTTGGGGGGCTAGAACTCGGCACTGGGGGATGAAGGAACTGAGGTCGCGATTGGGGAGTAGGGGTTTGGGGGTTTAGGGTTCAGGGTTTGGGGTTTGGGGCTTAGGCGTCCTAAACCCTAAACCCTAAACCCTAAACCCTCAACACAAGCTTCTTGGCAAGGCCAAGAATCTTCGAAAGCATCCAGGGACCTCAGGAGCGCCTGCCGCCCGAGTGTCTTGGGTTTTGTTTTGCCATCCGGGGTTGAGAGTTTAGGGTTTAGGGTTTAGGGTTTAGGGTTTAGGGTTTAGGGTTTAGGGTTTAGGGTTTAGGGTTTAGGGTTTAGGGTTTAGGGTTTAGGGTTTAGGGTTTAGGGTTTAGGGCCTCAACCCCAAACCCTAAACCCTCGACTCTTCTTCGGTGCCTTAAACCCCGCTGAAAACGAGTCCCCAATATGACCCCCTTACGCCCAGCAAGGGAACATACACAAATATCCCCAGGGCCTACCGAGCTGAGCCCCTAAACCCTAAACCCTAAACCCTAAACCCTAAACCCAGCTAAGTATCTGCAACCTTCAGCTGCCCTGAAGATCACAGGCAGAGGCCTCAAACAACAGCTCCCAATCCCGAAACAGAAACAGCCTTCTGGGTTCAAAGGTTCAGGGTTCAGGGTTTAGGGTTTAAGGTTTAGGGTTTAGGGTTTAGGGTTTAGGGTTTAGGGTTTAGGGTTTAGGGTTTAGGGTTTAGGGTTTAGGGTTTAGGGTTTAGGGTTTAGGGTTTAGGGTTTAGGGTTTCAGGTTCAGGGTTGGATCAGGATTTGAGGGTTCAGGGTCTTAAGGTTCACGAGCTGACATGATTTGTACACTTGTTCACTGAAAATACTCGCTTTTGATAACTTAGTGCAAGTTCAGGAACCCAAATGTAAGAGGACTTGGAGGATTTGGGGGGGTTTAGGAAGCAGGACAAAGTAAGCTACAAGTACCCCAAGAAAGGGGCCCTAGCCTACTTATCGGGTCCCTTTCTGGGTCCCCTTTATAGAGTTCTTACGGCACCCTTAAAACAAAGGTCCCCAGACAGGGACCATTTTTGCAGCAGGAAGGGACCTTAAACCCCAAACCCCAAACCCTTTTTGCAACTGGACTGCGAACAACTGCCAGGAGAAAACCCTAAACCCTAAACCCTAAACCCTAAACCCTAAACCCTAAACCCTAAACCCTAAACCGGAATTTGGAGAACTACCCGGACCACCCACATGTTCCGCGCCTGGGCCTGTGCAAGCTCCGACGCCCTCTGGGCCTCAAGAGCCGCCTCCTCAGCCTCGGCATGCGCTTTGAGCCAGGGACGCGGTTTAGGGTTTAGGGTTTAGGGTTTAGGGTTTAGGGTTTAGGGTTTAGGGTTTAGGGTTTGGGGTTTAGGGTTTAGGGCTTAGGGTTTAGGGTTTACGGTTTAGGGCTGAGGGTTAGGGCCCCTGGCATATGTTAAAACAAAGAGGAAAGAATTTGGGAAGTTCACCCTCATACTAACAGCCCTTAGTAGGGATTATATAGTACCCCCTATTCTCATCCCGATTAAGGACTGCTAGTATAAGTGGGAACATTGTAACATCCCAAAACGGACCTTATAATCAGAATCAAATATCGGCTTGGGGTAAGAATCAAATAACGGATTGGGAAATTTGGCTCCAACAGCGTGTTTTCGGCCACCCGCCGAGCTGACCAATTCAGATCCACTCCGCGGGGACTCATCGAAGGGTCCAGGGTTCCCTATCGGTGGTTTCAAGGAGGAGTAAGACATGCAGCGTTCCCCAACATTCCACGAAGCCGATCTTCTGGAGAAGGTTAGGCGTTTCGGGCCTTTAGGGTTTAGGGTTTAGGGTGTAGGGTTGAGGGTTTAGGGTTTAGGTTTTAGGGTTAGGGTTTAGGGTTTAGGAGGGACACAGGGTTCCAGCTCTTTAAATGCCCCAAACTTGTCCTAAACCCGCATGAACCCGCAAAAACCTACAAACACACTGAACCCAGAAAAACGAAAGTAATAACAATAAAACTAGAAAAAAAACTCCAGAAGCCCTATTACCGAGAGCAGACAGAGAAAGGCAACCTTCCTGACGACCCATTCCGAAACTATTTGCTTAAGAACCCCCACCCAAAAAATGTATATATTCCTCCTTGTAAGGGCAAAATAGGGATGATGATTTTACTTTTTTGGAGGAGTTCTTCGGCAAATAGTAGTATGCCCTAATTGAACCCTATTATTTTATGCGGCTTGGGGGGCTCTTAAGCAAATACCCTAAACCCTAAACTCTAAACCCTAAACCCTAAACCCTAAACCCTAATCCTAAACCCTAAACCCTAAACCCTAAACCCTAGCAGGAGAATGTCCGTAAAAAAAAAAGGCCCAGCGGCCTGCTTCTCTGGGCCCACCTCGGCCTCCAGCATCGCCAGCCTGATGCAGGGTCTAGGGTTTAGGGTTTGGGGTTTAGGGTTTAGGGTTTAGGGTTTAGGGTTTAGGGTTTAGGGTTTAGGGCTTAGGGTTTAGGGTTTAGGGTTTAGGGTTTAGGGTTTACGGCTTAGGAACCATCATAGAACTAGCCACATGCCGCATGCCTGCTCTAGACCACCGTCCTCTTACCTTCTTGACACCGACATGCTTGCGCTCCGCACCTAAAAGCCATTGCTCGCATTAAATGGACGTTTCCGACAACCCTAAACCCTAAACCCTAAACCCTAAACCCTAAACCCTAGTACGATAGACCTCTTAGGGCGACATTTTCCGTTCGCTTGGGCTCAAGAGCTTTGAGCAGCTTCAAGGTTTAGGGCTTTAGAGCCAGAACACCCTAAACCCTAAACCCTAAACCCTAAACCCTAAACCCTAAAACCCTTAAACCCTTAAACCCTTAAACCCTTAAACCCGCAAACCCAAAGCTTTCTTGAGGACTCTCATGCCCGGACTCTTGTAGGGCTATAGGTGGGGCTCAGAATTGGGCCCGAAGATCAGGGTTCAAGGGTCAAGGGTTTAGGGTTTAGGGTTTAGGGTTTAGGGTTTAGGGTTTAGGGTTTAGGGTTTAGGGTTTAGGGTTTAGGGTTTAGGGTTTAGGGTTTAGGGTTTAAGGGTTAAGCGTGCTGTCAAGCTGAGAGTCGTTTGAGCGTGTTTCCGCTGATTCGCTGCCCAGAGGGCCTCCTTGCCACAGACAGCAGCTGACTTCCAGCAGATGGCCGGGGTTTTGGGGGGCTAGGGTTTAGGGTTTAGGGTTTAGGGTTTAGGGTTTAGGGTTTAGGGTGTAGGGTTTAGGGTTCAGGGTTCAGGGTTCAGGGTTCAGGGTTTAGGGTTTAGGGTTTAGGGGGTTTTGAGGGTCAAAAGGGCCCGGTTGCAAGCTGGACCTGGCTCCTGGAGCAGAACTGCGTGCAGAGTCTTCACGTGAAGGGCACTAAATCCCAAACCCTACACCCTTAACCCTACACCCTAAACTAGTTCATTGGGATAGTAGCAAGAATTTAATTTGTTATTCCTTATTTGGTTTAGGTACCCTTAAACATGTAAAATGTTACCCAACTATGAAAAAGTAAACCCCAAACCCTAAACCCCAAACCCTAAACCCTAAGCCCTAAGCCCGAAGCCCTAAGCCCTATGCCCTATACCCTAAACCGTAAACCCTAAGCCCTAAACCCTAAACCCTAAAGCCCTAAGCCCTAAACCCTAAGCCGTGTTGGGCCACAGCCATGGTCTCCTGCATCTCCGCATAGGTACAGTCTGCGAAACTCTTGCAGACAAAGCGGACCGACTCACCTGCCGGTCTACATGTTTTGGTTTAGGGTTTAGGGTTTAGGGTTTAGGGTTTAGGGTTTAGGGTTTAGGGTTTAGGGTTTAGGGTTTAGGGTTTCGGGTTTGGGGTTTGGGGTTTAGGGTTTAGGGTTTAGGGTTTGGGGTTTGGGGTTTGGGGTTTGGGGTTTAGGGTTTAGGGTTTAGGCCTGTTTAGGGCTGTTTAGGGTTTAGGGTTTAGGGTTTAGGTTGTTGAATAGGGTTTCGGGTGAAGAGCCAGATCAAGTCTTCCCTGCCAAAACTTCTCTTGCAGAACAGAACAGAACGAACAGAACAAACTGGTTCTTAGTAGGGAGTGACGGAATTAGGCACCATATGTCGCCCCAATTAAGAGGGTTGTTTAGGGCACCTGATTCCCTCACCAAGCAACCTTGGGTTGACGTCGAATACCGCCGCTTGCACCACTGCCTCGAACGACCGTCGGGGCTGGGGGGCGCAGTAAGATGCAGCCACAAAGTCAAGGATGTAGGTTCAAAGCACAGCGCGGCTCCACCTCGACCCTGAACTTGCGACCAGAGCAGCCCTAAACCCTAAACCCTAAACCCGAAACCCTAAACCCTAAACCCCAAACCGCTCTCTACTTCAAACCTCTTCAGGCTGCCCGGTGACGTCTTCATAGCTGCTGGTGGGTGGCACTCGGCTATTACGCGCACCTTGGATCGAAGCCACTTGGAAGGCCACTTGGTGAGGTTTAGGGTTTAGGGTTTGGGGTTTAGGGTTTGGGGTTTAGGGTAGGTTAATAGTAGGGCAACAGAAACCCACTCGCCCCCAGCAAAAGCCTCCACCCAAGCCCTAGACCCTGCCCCTAGACCCTACTCGTGCTGCATTGGGCGCAGGTCGACCTGAGAGGCGTTGATACGCCTGAGCCGGAAATCTCAAGTGCACCCGGTGGTTTAGGGTTGTAGGGTTTGAGGTTTAGGGTTGTAGGGTTTAGGGTTTAGGGTTTAGGGTTTAGGGTTTAGGGTTTAGGATTTAGGGTTTAGGGTTTAGGGTTTAGGGTTTAGAGTTTAGGGGGTCCGAAACCCCAAACCTTTGACTGAGGGCAATGCCGGCAAAGCCTGCTACGGCTGCTGCGTTTACGCTTAACAAGCACCAGAAACCAAGAACTCTGTGAACCCTAAACCCTAAAGGGTTTTGGGACCCTAAACCCTGCAGGGTTTAGGGTTTAGGGTTCAGGGCATAGGGTTGAGGGTTGAGGGCTGAGGGTTTAGGGACCCAAAGCCCTGGACACTGTGGGGGGTACTGTGAAAAAAGCCTGCAACAGGCTGGGGCCTTGAGTACCCACAGGCGCCGGTTGCCCGTGACTGCGTAGAGGAGATCCTCGTACCTCCAGTTTAAGGTTTAGGGTTTAGGGTTTAGGGTTTAGGGTTAGGGGGTCCTCTTTTGGGGTTCCCTAGATAGTGGCCTTCTAATCAATTGTGGCTCCTTTTTGGGTTCTCTACATATTAAAGCCTTATAATCGTGACCCCAAAAGGGACCATTGTCGCCCCTTTTTGGGTTTCCGAAATATGAAGGGCCACCTCGAGGGACCCCAAAAAGAAACCATCATTTTGAGAATTGAGCATACGAAGTTGTTGTTGCCACCCGCATTGGGTTTAGGGTCTTAAGCACATGTTTGATAAGGTGCAGGGGTTTACAGGCGAAGCGTTTTGGGGGTTTACGGGATTTGGGACTTTCGGACAGACATGGAGCCAGGATGCAGAGAGATTAAGAGTCGAGCGATTTGGGGTTTAGGGGTTAGGCGAACCTCGCACCTTTGCCATTGATTGCTTAAGAACCCGGAAGAAATAAGCAAGGTACTTCCTTATAAGGACAATACAGGGACTGTTACCTTGCTCTTTTTTTCTTTTTTTTGGGAGGGGGGGGGGGGGGTCTTCAGCAAACAGTAGGTTCCCTAAGAACATGGGGAGATCCATTATGCATGGGGCGACGAGATTGTTTTTCAGATGGGAAGCTCCCCTTCCCATGTCTAGCCATCACATGTGTAGGACAGGACCTACTTCCGCACACAAAATCTCCGCATGTGGCTACCCGCAAATTCGCACTGCAACTCGAACAAACCCCAAACCCCAAACCCCAAACCCCAAACCCCAAACCCCAAACCCCAAACCCTAAACCCTAAACCCTAAACCCTAAACCCTAAACCCTCAACCCTAAACCCTAAACCCTAAACCCTAAACCAAACCCTAAACCCTAAACCCTCTGAACCCTTTTAGCAGACAGACCCTCTCAGGGGCCCTAAACCCCAAAAAAGTCTTCTGGCTTGGTGCGTGCTTTGGGCTCCATCTGGAGGGAGTTGATGCAAACCATGCGCCCCTTCCTACATGGTGCCTCCATTCCTTATGGCTCATTTTGTTTCAGGATTAAGGGTTTAGGGCCGAGGGTTTAGGGATCCTAGGATTAAGGGTTTAGGGCTAGGGTTTAGGGATCTAGGATGCGAAATAGGGCCCGGCCCGCAATGTAGGTCGATCTCCACATGCCCTGGGTCGTAAGTTTCCTTGCGGTTTGAAGCCAATACGGGCCCATGAGTTGGACGTGCCCAACAAAAAACTCGACTTAGGATTTAGGGACTCCAATCTAACTTGGCTGCACTCAGGAGGGTAGCTATAAATTAAACTTTTAGCTGCCTCCAATAAACCCAAAAAAGGTAAGGATCTAAAGTTACAGTAAAGTACCACAAAGCTAAGGTCCGCACAGCACGACGCGGAAGGTGGGAAGGACATCTGGCTTGATCTTGCCCGCCAGCATTTGCCTGGGCTCACCCTACACCCTTTTCAGGGGTGCCTGTCTAAACCCCTAAACCCCTCCCCCTAATGGTAAAACCCCCCCTACCCCCCAATATCAAATTACCCCCAAAAAAACTGCAATATCACTCGAATGGGAGTATCAGGGGGGAGGGGGGGGTTAATATTCGCGGGAAAGAATTAGGCCTTGCGGTTTTGGGGTTTTGAGGTTTTGTTCGGGGCTATTGAAGGGCAGCATATTCTCGAAGAACGCCCCACAAGCCGCACATCCCTCCCCCTTCCCCGCCGCAACGCAGCGTTCTGGTTGCCACTTGGAGTTCCCCTGGTTAAGTCCTACATGGGCCGACAAACAGCTCAACTCTATGTAGAACTGGTGGGCTCCTAGTGTTCTCCTGAACTACTATTTGCTTAAACACCCTTAGAAAGCAAAAAACAAATTGCCTTTCTAAGAACATGTTTTCGCTTTGGGGGGGGGGGGGTTCTCAAGCAATTCGTAGTGAACTTGCCAGAAACCCTAAACCCTAAACCCTAAACCCTAAACCCTAAACCCTAAACCCTAAACCCCTGCAAGAGGCTGGAGCGTGTCGAAGAGCAAGGTCCCATCTCGAAATCCTTGTTGGGGCGCCGTCCAGGTTCAAGGGGCCACCGAGGCGCTGTGGGGAGCGTTTGCGGTAGAGGGCTGAGGGTTTACTGCAGGGTTTAGGGTTTAGGGTTTAGGGTTTAGGGTTTAGGGTTTAGGGTTTAGGGTTTAGGGTTTAGGGTTTAGGGTTTAGGGTTTAGGGTTCATGAGATCACAATCTTGCGTCCCAGCTGAACCTCCCCACAGCCTGAAGACAGAGATCACCCCAAAACGCGCAAAACAAGTCTCGGATGCCCATGGTCTCCTAAACCCTAAACCCTAAACCCTAAACCCTAAACCCTAAACCCTAAACCCTAAACGCGCTCAAGTCTCGGATGCCGATGGTCTCCTGGCTCCAGCGAATGTGCTCGACCGGTATAGGCTGCCTAAGGGCCAACCGCCGGAAGGACGCTGAATTGGGTTTAGGGTTTAGGCTTTAGGGTTTAGGGTTTAGGGTTTAGGGTTTAGGGTTTAGGGTTTAGGGCTTAGGGCTTAGGGTTTAGGGTTTAGGGCAATCATTGGATTCCCCTGCTACCTCTATACTTTCCGGGGGTTTAGGGCTTAGGGTTTAGGGTTGAGGGTTGAGGGTTGAGGGTTGAGGGTTGAGGGTTGAGGGTTGAGGGTTGAGGGTTGAGGGTTGAGGCCCTTGCTTCAAGGCTTGGGCAGCACCAATTTACGTCCAAGCAGCCGTTCGTATTTCCACTGGTGAGGCTCCGCGACCTCACCAAGCATCTCACCCCTTGCGAGGTGGGACACACATGGGCGCGGGCCCCGGTAGAACTGAGAATGACCATCGGGACCCAATTAACATGGTTAATCCATCAAACTCCTCATACCCAGCACTTTAAATGCATGTGTCCAAAGCCCACAAATCGCAGCTTCAGCAGCAATATCGTCATCATCGCTTTCCTCGTCCCAGTACGCGGCGTCCTGTGCCAGAACTCTGATATCCTAAACGCGAAAGAAACCCTAAACCCTAAACGCTTCTAATCGATGAACCCCGGCTCCTGGCAACCATACACTTGAAGCATCCATCCTAACCCCTAACCCTGACCCCTAACCCCTAACCCCTAAACCCTAAACCCTAAACCCTAAACCCTAAACCCTAAACCCTGACACGCCACGAACATGTCTCAGGCCAAGGTCCTCCATGGCAAGCTGCTGCTCCTTTTTGTGGGGCGAAGCATGTTGGGGTTTAGGGTTTGGGGTTTAAGGTTTAGGGTTTGGGGTTTAGGGTTTAAGGTTTAAAGTGTAGGGTTTAGGGTTTAAGGTTTAGGAATTGAGTTTAGATTCAAGCTGGCTCTTTTCGGCGAAGCCGCTTGCGTAGGAGCACCCCCTCAAGGCAGTAAGAGTGAACCCTTCTCGGAGGTAGATGGTACTTATCAACCAATTATAACTGTACTTAGAACTGTCATATGACCATATTAGGGCACGGTGGGTTAAAAGTACAGTTATAATTGTTAAATAAGTACCATGAACCTCCAAGTTTAAGACACGAGGCCCAATGGGGTTCCCACAGATACCCGATTCCTTGGAGGCCCGAGCCTGCCCAGCCTTTCCGCCGGTGCTCTCTGTCCTGCTGGGGGTTTAAGGTTTAGGGTTTAGGGTTTAGGGTTTAAGGTTTAGGGCTTCGGGCTTTGGGTGTAGGGTTTAGGGCACCAAAGGGCTCAAGGCAGTGACCCTCAACCCCCCTGAACCCAAGCCGGCGAGGGACCTTTAGACCCCCTGACCATCCTGGTGGTTCTTAAGCAGCCCTGAACTACGGTTTCATTGGTTGAGAACCCCGGAAAAATATGACCACTACTCCCTCTATTGCCCTTATTTGGAAGAGCATGGTTTTTTTTTTTTTTTTTTTTTTTTTTTTTGGGGGGGGGTTCTTAAGCAAATAGCAATGAACCCTGGCCCAAACCCATCACCACCCATAGGCTGACCCCGCTAGTTTAAACTCTACTTGGAGGTTCAGGGTACTTATTAACCAATTAGGATTGTACGTATAACCCACTCGTAAGCCCCTTAAGTGCCTAGTATGGTTATAAGTACACTTAGAATCGGTTAAGAAGTACCATGAAAAATCCAAGTACTCCCGAAACCCCCGAAACCGATACCAGAAAAGACCTCAGCCCAAGCCCGAAACACGACTTATAAACCCTTGAGCCCCTAAACCCTAAACCCTAAGCCCTGCACCCTACACCCGAAACCCTAGACCCTAGACCCTAAACCCTAAGCCCTAAACCCTAAACCCTAAACCCTAAACCCTAAACCCTAAACCCTAAACCCTAAACCCTAAACCCTAAACCCTTCGCCTTGACTTCCAGCCGCCCTTCTCGCCCTTTTGGGGCATCCGCAGGGCCTCGACCTTGGCACCTCCAGGTTGGGGGCATGGCTTCTTAGGGTTTAGGGTTTAGGGTTTAGGGTTTAGGGTTTAGGGTTTAGGGTTTAGGGTTTATGGTTTGGGTTTCAGGGTTCCATGTTTAGGGTTTAGGGTTTAGGGTTTGGGTTTAGGGTTTAGGAAGGTGCAGATATTGGCTTAGGGTTTAGGGTTTAGGGTTTAGGGTTTAGGGTTTAGGGTTTAGGGTTTAGGGTTTGATATTGGAACCTCTCAAGGGGTCGACCGCAGAGAGGGGGGGGAAAGGGGAAGAACCAAACCCCTGACCCCGACTTGGAGGATCGTGGAGGTTCTGGGAAGAACTTGTAGGGCTTAGGGTTCAGGATGTTCGGTGTTGGGGTGTAGGGCTTAGGGTTTCAGGTTTAGGCCTTTGAGCATCCCAGATACGGGTGATCAACAGTTAACACTCTAGCCCCCCATGAACGCCCCACGAAGCCCGCAATCTGACGCCTTCGCCCCTTGCGAACAAACCCCAAGCCTGAAAAAAAATCTCCCCAAGAACCGAAGAAAAACAGCAAAAACAGAAACAGTAAACAATAACAACAGCAACGAAGACAAAAACAAAAACATAACAAAAAAACAAACAGAAACAAACAGAAACGTGCAACAAAACAAAACCAAAAATGCCGAGCTGCGCCGCTCTTGCTTCGTCAACTCCTGAACCTTCCGGGTCCACTTGAAGCCTCAGATTGCCACGGGAGCTTCCAGGGCTTCAGGGCTTTTGGGGTACACTCAGGGGGGATGGTCTAGGGTTGTTTTGCGCCCCGCTAAGCGGCAAGGTTTAGGGGTTTGGGGATATTTTCGGCTCGTGTCTGGAACAACATCCATACCTAAACCCCAAACCCTTTGATAATTAAGCCCTGTGGAAATTTCTAGTATGGTTTTGGGGTTCTACAGGCCCAGAAGCTCTTGGAGAAGCCGGCGCGCCGTGGCTTCCAGCAGATTTCCTGGATGCTGCACCCCCCTGAAACCTTCAGCAAAAAGCCTGCAAAGCTCTGTGAGGTAACCTAAACCCTAAACCCGCCCGCCACAGCGCTCAGTGAGACCCTGCGAGGGAGCCCCAGGCGGGCGACCGAGCTGGCCTCCAGGCAGGCTTACCCTCCAGGCCGGCACAGGCCGAGACAGCAGTAGTCACTGTATATTACCCCAAACCCCAAGCCTGTCCGCGCACATTCTTGGCTCCTGCATTGGGAGGCCCCCTGGGAAGGCCCCTGGAGACCCCTGGGTCCCCAACCCCCGTCCGCTGGGCTGAGGGGACCAGGGGCCGTTTTGTTGGGGCAGGCAGGGCTCTGGCCCAAAAACTCCCTTTTGCCCTGGCCTGGGTCTGGCCTGGCCCTGGCCCTGGCCCTGGCCCTGGCCCTGGCCCTGCCCTGGACCTGGCCCTGGCCCTGGCCCTGGCCCTGGCCCTGGGCCTGGCCCTGGCCCTGGCCCTGGCCGCCGGCCCTGCCCCCTGGCCCTGGCTCTGGCCCTGCGGCCCTGGCCCTGGCCCTGGCCCTGGCCCTGGCCCTGGCCCTCTGGTCCTGGCCCTGGCCTCTGGCCTGTTCGAGTCATCTTACCCCCTTGCGCCAAGCCAAGCTGTCCGCGCACCAATTTGTGTCTTGTTTCGGCGCTCTCCCTCTCTGGCTTTAGCACCCCCTTCACGCCAAGCCAAGCTATCCGCCACACCAGCCCTGTTTCCGTGGCGCTCTGCCCAACCCAAGCTGTTCACTGTGTGTTCTTCCTGGCTGGAGCCCCTTCGCGCCAACCAAGCCTCGCTGCCTTTCTCTGTTCCTGGCCCGTCCCTTGGGTTTTCACGGACCCTGCCTTGTTTCCGTCGCTTGTGACCTGGCCCTGGCCCTGGCCCTGGCCCTGGCCCTGGCCCTGGCCCTGGCCCTGGCCCTGGCCCTGGCCCTGGCCCTGGCCCTGACTAGTTTTGCGCCCTGGCCCTGGCTCTGCCCTGTCCTCTGGCCTGTTCGAGTCATATTACCCCCTTGCGCCAAGCCAAGCTGTCCGCACACCAGTTTGTGTCCTGTTTCGGGGCGCTCTCCCTGGCTTTCGCCCCTTCGCACCAACCCAATCTGTCCTGCCTCGCTTCCGTTTGCTGCAAATTTGTGCCTGGTCCTGACCCTGACCCGGCACCCCACCTTACCCCCTTCGCGCCAAGCCGAGCTATCCGCCACACCAGCCCTGTTTCCGTGGCCCTCTGCCCGACCCAAGCAGTTCACTGTGTGTTCTTCCTGGCTGGAGCCCCTTCGCGCCAACCAAGCCTCGCTGCCTTTGTCTGTTCCTAGCCCATCCCTTCATAGCCCCTTCGCGCCAACCCAAGCTGTCTTCACGGACCCTGCCTCGTTTCCGCACGCACCTTGTGGAAATCCCCAAAAAGGGCGTGAGTGCTGACTCATGTGATGCTTTGTAAAAAAATAAAAGGTCTTAACTCCTTGAGAGTTGTAAGTGGGCGGTCTTGGGGTGGGTAGGTCTGCATACTACCGCGCGCTCCCAAAGCGCGCTCCCGTTTGGCACGCCCTAAACCCTAAACCCTAAACCCTAAACCCTAAACCCTAAACTGCCCTAAACCCTGAACCCTGAACCCTGAACCCTGAACCCTGCTTGAGGATGGGGGGTGGCGGGTTGGGGTTTTTGGGGGCTCGGCGGCTTGAGGAGGCTCAGCTCACACCCTGAGCCCGTCCTCGGGGCGTGCAGTGGCACCTTGGTGTCGAGTTTAGGGTTTAGGGTTTAGGGTTTAGGGTTTAGGGTTTAGGGTTTAGGGTTTAGGGTTTAGGGTTTAGGGTTTAGGGTTTAGGGTTTAGGGTTTAGGGTTTAGGGTTTAGGGTTTACAGAGCTCTCGGCACAGCTCAAAGCCACGAACCGCAAAATCCTGTGCCCTAAGACTTCAGACCCTGGGCCTTTCTTTCTGCATTGGGATTTTGCAAAGCAAGATAAGCCTGCCTTCACACGCTGAGCCGGTTGGGGGCGGAAGGCCGTTGTCACGGATCCCTAAACCCTAAACCCTAAACCCTAAACCCTAAACCCTAAACCCTAAACCCTAAACCCCTTATTGCGAGCTCACATCAAGTAACCTTATGGACGCTGACGGACAGCTTAAGCGGCCCGGATAAGCGTCAGGCTGCTGGACTTGCCTCCGGGTTTGGGGTTTAAGGTTTAGGGATTAGGGTTTTAGGGTTTGGGGTTTAGGGTTTACGGGTTTAGGGTTTGGGGTTTAGGGTTTAGGGTTTTGGGTTACCCTAAAAACTTCATCTGCGCTCAGGACTACATAGACGGCAGCGGGTACTGAGGCGACCCTCACAACATCACTACCCCCTAAGACATCCTAAAGCCCCGCAGACCCTCGCTTGCCCTGCCCGAAGCGGTTTACCCTAAACCCTAAACCCTAAACCCTACTCAGGTCCCCGCAGTCGAGCACGAAGTTGCCGCCCCAACAGATCTGCGGAGGGGAGTTCACGGCTATTGTTAGGGTTTAGGGTTTAGGGTTTAGGGTTTAGGGTTTAGGGTTTAGGGTTTAGGGTTTAGGGTTTAGGGTTTAGGGTTTAGCGTTTAGGGTTTAGGGTTTAGGGTTTAGGGTTTAGGGTTTAGGGCTTAGGGTTTAGGGTTTAGGGTTTAGGGTTTAGGGTTTAAGGTTTAGGGCTATTGTTAGTACTGCTAGGGTTAGAGCTCAGGGCTTCGACTCTCGCACAAGGCAGGCAAGGGCTTCGGATTACAGGGTTGCGGGGTCTACTTGGATGCGAAGGTAGAGCGATAAGAGGTTTAGAGCATACAACACTTCTGTGGCGCACTTGTCACCCTACTAATTCCCACCCACAGGAACCATCAAGCGCCATCCTTAGGGCTTTGGAGCTCCTCATTGTCTTCGGTAATTGGGCGTTTCCGAAATTGGGGAATCCTACCATTTGGGGGTCTACATTTGAGGTCCCTCATTGTCCGGGGTCTTTAGGGCTTGGAGCTTCTGGGGTCCAACAACCAGGGAAAACGTCAAGGATTGATACTTCCTTTGCGCAGGCCACAGACCACGCGCTAGGAGTCCCTTCAGTGTACCTTTTAGGGCATGGGGATGGGGATGTTCCAACTTTTGAATTTTACTGCAAGTCTTTGTCTGGACTGGCTCTTGTCGTGCTCAAAAAGGGTTGGTACATGCACTGCAATGCGGACAGGTCATGCCGTGCTGAGTGAAAGAATGGCAGGCCATTCAGCAGGGGGCTTCGGCAACAACAGCGCAGATCCAACACCCAGGAGGCGTAGACGATCACCATCTTCCACAGGGCCCAGATTTGCACAGGCCCCTAATGAGGAAAGATGAGGAAAACTCTACAGCCCCCGCAGAAGCGTCCTCACCTCGCGTGCCGGTGGCCACCTGGATGCGTTTAGGGTTAAGGGTGCAGGGCTGAGGATTTAGGGTTTAGGGTTTAGGGTTTAGGGTTTAGGGTTTAGGGTTTAGGGTTTAGGGTTTAGGGTTTAGGGTTTAGGGTTTAGGGTTTAGGGTTTAGGGTTTAGGGTTTAGGGTTTAGGGTTTAGGGTTTAGGATAAGGGTGCAGGGCTTAGGGTGTAGGACGGGACGATCTTGACGTTTCGGAGACTTGCGCAGGATCCCGGGCGGCGCTTGCGGAAAGATAAGGAGGGTGCGACGATCGGGCTGACGGGGGCTCATGAAAGACTTTAACAGCAACACTAAACCCTGCAAACCAGAAACCCCAAACCCCACACCCCGAAAACTAAACCCTAAACCCCAAACCCTAGGTGTCGGCACAAGCTCGTCGGCGATTACTCCTGCAGCCTGGCTTGCAACCAAACAGCTAGCGAACTATCCCAAGACTTCCTGCTGCCGGGGCACCCAGGACAAGCTCAATCCAGCCAAGAAAACGCCAGGTTAAAAAAAAACCCTAAACCCTAAACCCTAAACCCTAAAACCCTTTGTCACGAGGAACTCGACTGCTGCCCCTACTTCCCTGCCTCGCAACATTGACCTAAAACCCTAAACCCTGAGAACAGCCGAAGCAAAGCCCCCGAGTTACGCACACACCAGCAATCCTCGAAACCCTAAACCCTAACCCTAAACCCTAAACCCCAAACCCCCAACCCTCAACCCCAAACCCTAAACCCCCAACCCTAAACCCCAAACCCTAAACCCTAAACAACCTCCAGCCGGAAGGTACTCACGGGTCACGGGGACATCCTCCACCTTTTTCTGGGGGTTCAAAGGGCTTCAGGCTTAGGGACTTTAGGGTTTAGGGTTTAAAGTTTAGGGTTTAGGGTTTAGGGTTTAGGGTTTAGGGTTTAGGGTTTAGGGTTTAACGTTTAGGGTTTAGGGTTTAGGGTTTAGGGTTTAGGGTTTAGGGTTTAGGGTTTGTGCTTAGGGTTCAAGGTTTAGGGTTGAGGGTTTGGGGGCATGATGAAGTCTTGCATGGCTGTTAACATCTTCGAACCTCTGTTAGGATTTCGACTATTCAGTTCCGAACCCCTAAACCGCAAACACCCTAAACAGTCAGATTGCCTATTTAGGTGTATGGCGCCGCAAATATACACACACACACACACTCACAGAGACACACCACAACCCCATTTTTTCCCAAATAGCATACCAAGGTTCGTCCGGAAGATCTCCCTGCAATCGCAGATCCTTGAGGGTTTCCGAAAAATAGGGGTACCCTTTTTGGGGGTCCCTTTACAGGGATTCCCATTCTATTGGGGGTTTAAGAGGGGTACCCTATTTTTGGAAATACCCACATGTCAAAGTTCGGCTAGTGTCATATCATGCTAACTGAACAGGTGCAGCACCAAATCAGGCGCATGTCGTTACTTGCTTGAGTAGATTGGCATTAGGGCAAAAACTAATAAAAGAGTTGGTTGAATTATACTCGGTTCTCGGCATGTCAGTATAGTTCACATAGTTCAGCTTCTCGCGGAAAAAGAACAACTGGTGGTGGGGGGAGCAAATTCATAAATGTATTCAGTTCATGAACCTCCACTACTGAAAATTATATAGGCTCCCAGTGACGCTCGCCCCCAATTCACATGACTCATATTCAGGATTCCGAAGAGTTCAGGGCATGTTCCCCAAAGAGTCTTGGGCTCTCCGGGCTTTGGGCTTCGGCTTCGCCACCAAAACCTCCAGCAAGCATAGGGGTTTCCGACAGCAAGGGTACTCTTTTAGGGGGTTCCTATACTAAGGATGATCGTATTTTGGGGTATAATCGGGGCACCCCCTATTCTAGGACATACTCAAATCCTTGCTGTTTTTAGGTGGGTGGTCTCCCATCCAACACGTACCACTTCCATCTACGCATGGTTCGTGCGACCTTTCTGTCTGCGAGGCCAGCAAGCGTGCGTTCACGTGGCGGCACAGAAAATGAAAATGTAAGGGCCTTGACAATTAGACTAGGGTTTTGGAGGTTTTTGTGGTATAACTACATAGGGACCACAAGGGAATACTATCAGTATTTAATTCAGACCCATGTGGTAAACAGCTCCTGCGCTGACTGACAAGAGCGCCTGCCATCTCAGTGAACAAAGAGCTGGCGGATCACCAGTTCCATGAGCATACCCACATCGTCCGACGAACCATCCTCCGAAGCTGTGTCCTCCTCATCGTCAATGATGCCATTGCACTTGATCTCGCCCGCCAAGATGGCGGAAGTATTTGGGAAAGGCGAGCTCCTGAAAGTGATTGCGCGGATCACCTAAAACTGGGGTTATTTTCTACCCATTTTTTTAGGTTTCCGAGGGAACAGCTATACAAGGATTCCAGTACTTTGGGAGGTAAATTGTAGGACGCCTACTCTGGGAAAACAATCCGCGAGACTCACTTAAATAGAGCCCACAGAGATGCAACAAAAAAGTGCCAACAGCGCTTTTTCCCCCTAAACCCTAAACCCTAAAACCCTAACCCCTAAACCCTAAACCCCTAAACCCCAAACCCTAAACCCTAAACCCTAAATTGCTGCCTAAGGCTCAGCTTCACCCCCCGGAGCTCTTCCTTGTACTCGCGGCCCGCATACTGGGCGTTGGCGTGCTCTTGAATCCTTGGTAGCCCAGGAACCATACTATAATGGGAGCACCCTTTTTAGGGTTTAGGGTTTAGGGTTTAGGGTTTAGGGTTTAGGGTTTAGAGTTTAGGGTATTCTACAAGGGAACCCAGAACCAGAAAAAAAGGGGTAACAACCATATTATACTGTAGCAAGGGCACCCTTTTTGGGGTTGGCCTACCTTATAAGGGGACAACCCATAGCCAAGATAAAAATGGGTAAAGGGGACCAGTGGGCTGCCAAGCAGCCAGTTGTGGACTTGCTGCCGGTAGCGCGGCTTCAGCCACTCCACCAAGTTAGGGAGCGAGTCCGCGTTGCAAGCTCCTCTATACCCTTCTTAGAACCTTAATGAAACCCTAAACCCTAAACCCTCAAAACCCTAAACCCTAAACCCATCGCATTGTTTAATATCCTCTTGGGTTTTATATACACAGCAATATAAAATAATTCCCCCCCAAGGGGGATATAGTCCTGGCTTGGCGAAGGTGATGGTCGCCGAGCGAATCAGGAAGTCCTCGTCCACTGTCCTCGGGGGGATTTGGGGGGGCCCTGTAAAGACTCAAATTTCTATGGGCTTTAAAGGGTATGTAGGGATTCGGACCCATAGAAATTGAAAAATCTGCTCTAAATCCACCCCAGTTGTCTCAAGATCGATGACCAGGTTGATCTCAGTGACGGTGGAGAGCTTCATCAAGTCGGCTCTGCGGGTGCTTCTGCTGCTGTTACTGCTGGACTGGCTGCTTCTTGAAAGGCCGCTTTGGGAAGGCGCGAAGGAGTTGGAAAGTGCGCCATGTCCACAAAATCTCGGATCAGCCTTCTTGGCTGACTGCTGAACCCCTCCTAACAGTTTAACTGTTAGGCTCCTTATTATAATTTCTACAAAAGCCAAAAAGTTAAAGTCCTAAGAGCCAGCCAGAAGAAAGCCGAGCCTTGGTGAAGGGGATTAGAGTGTCCATGGGCACGCCCTCGCGAGATGATGGTCTCACATGGACATTCTCCATGCGTCCCAGTCGATCATCAGCGCAGTCATTGGTGATGCCAATCAAGTGTTCGTGCCCAACATTTCCTGGGTTGCTACGATTCTTCTACTCAATTTTGGTCATGGGGATTAGAATTAGTTTCTAGGGGATAACAAGCAGACTTACTAAGTCAAAAGAGCTTCTACGTCATCCCTCACCCTAACCTCTACTTGGCTGCACTCAGGAGGGTAGCTATAAATTAAACTTTTAGCTGCCTTAATAAGAAACCCAATAAACCCAAAAAAGGCAAGGATCTAAAGTTAAAGTAAAGTACAAAGTCTAAACCCTTTGAAACCCAGGACTGCGGAGGACTCCTGAGGTGCGAAAAGCAAGCACTGAAACGGATAGCGGCACGAGAGACGAGCTCCCAAGATGTTCATTGCAGCATGGTCCCTAAACCCAAAACCCTAAACCCTAAACCCTAAACCCTAAACCCTAAACCCTAAACCTAAACCCTAAACCCTTTCTTTAACCCAGGACTGCTGAGGCATAAACACATACCCTTTTTAAGCACGGCCTGAGGAGGCTGCCGGCACACCGAAAACATACCCTAAACCCGAAACCCTTTTAGAACCCGGTCTCAGGGCCATGCCGGTACCTGCCAGCGAGGAAGCACTCGTGGCCACCCCGACGTCGCCCAAAAGTGCAGTGCTAGCCCTGACCTACAGGCCCGCAAACTGCACCCTAGACCCTAAACCCTAAACCCTTTTTGCCAGGCTGCCACAAACCTAAACCCTAAGCCCATGACATCCTTACAAAGCCCTGACAACTCCCTCGATACCTTCTTAGCTAGCAGAGGCCAAGTCTCCCACCAGGCTAGGCACCGTGACATGAAAAAGTTCGGCCTTGAAAGTGACACCGCCTGGGATGCAGCTGAGGGCTTGGGGTTTGGGGTTTGAGGTTTAGGGACTGGGGTTTAGGGTTTGGGGTTTAGGGTTTCGCCACCCGCACTGCATAGGTTTAGGGTTTAGGGTTTAGGGTTTGGGGGTTTAACTTGTGGATAGTTGTGGTAGGGATTGCTAGAGTCATCAGCTTCAACGAGATTCCCGAAGCAACCCAGCCGCTGGAGTCCTTCATGTCGACATGCAGGGACCTCGCGGGAGCGTTGGCCTGAGAATTCTCAGCAATGAACTTCCTTGGCTGACTTCTGGACCCCTCCTAAAAGCTTAACTTTCAAGCTCCTTACCGTAGTTTCTTCCACCACCCAAAAGGTCAAAGTCCCAAGAGCCAGCCAGAAGAAAGCCCAAGTCTCGTGAATCGCTCATGATCTCCTGTTGCCACGTAGCGGAGGAACGGCGTACCATCCAGTTGTGTCGCGCAGTTGGAGCCAAAGTGGCACATCAGGAGATCCAAAAGTCCCCGGGAAGGGGTTTGAATGTTCAGGTCATGTGTTAGACGCACGGATGCGTCACAGGTCACTGAAAGCAAACGTTGGGCTGCTCCTCCTGTACGCTCTGCCTCTGCAACCTCCGCCACCTTTGCTTCCAACTCCATCGTGGCCATCGCCGCGTTATGCTCCTGCTCAGAAGTCTCGGAGGCACAGAGGAAGGGACCAGAGCTGCGTAAAGCTAGAGGGCGGAGGTGTTCAGCTGTTGCATTGTTTCTTACTATTTTTTTTCGGGGGGGGGGGGGAGGGATTTGGTGTTTCATCTCGCTCCTTGGTGTCGAGGTTAGTGACGACTAAAATCATGAGTGAGACAGCCACCACCTCGCCGACCATGGAGAACAAAAGCTTCTCTGTTGGTGCACCCGGCTCGAGATTGAGCCAATGCGACACGACATAAAGTGGTGCGAGCACGACGTTCACCTTGTTGCTAAACTGGCTGTTGGTGAAGGTCAAGGCCAGGGTTCGGGCCATGTAGCAAGCCTTCAACTGTTTAGGGTTTAGGGTTTAGGGTTTAGGGTTTAGGGTTTAGGGTTTAGGGTTCAGGGTTCAGGGTTTAGGGTTTAGGGTTTAGGGTTTAGGGTTGAGCTCCTAGAACAACCTTCCATGAAGCACTTCGAGTAGGGTCCCGGGAACTGAAGTTACTAACCCTAAACCCTAAACCCTAAACCCTAAACCCTAAACCCTAAACCCTAAACCCTAAACCCTACAGTAGCCCAGAAGCAGGCATGAGCTCACGGGGCATCCCGAGGGTTGCTCCGAAGATCAAGACGCTCATGATGGTCATGTCTCCTACACTGAAGTTTAGGGTTTAGGGTTTAGGGTTTAGGGTTTAGGGTTTAGGGTTTAGGGTTTAGGGTTTAGGGTTTAGGGTTTAGGGTTTAGGGTTTAGGGAACTTGGAACCCCAGCAAAACTTAATGTTTTGGTGCTGCTTCTTAGGAATTAAAGTACCCCCAACAAAAAACAAAAACTATTTCCAAGTATCCCTAAGTCTCGGTTCAACCGCTCAGGTGTCAGGTCCACTTTGGGATCTCCCATCCTCCTCATCACGGTGGATCCAATTGAGACTGTGATGTAGAACGCAAGGCTGTGCACCATGGGTGGAGCCACTCCCGTCGCTTGAACAATGAAGAGGATGAGCATGAAGCAATCCAGTATCAAGGACCACAAGCTGGCAATCTGTTGCAGAGAGGTGCGCCGACGCTGATGAACCCGTTTCTCCGCAGCCTCGTTGCCTGCTTCCACTCCGAACATGAACTTCGATAGTAAGTGGCCATAGAACTGACACTCGCCAACAAAGCCACTGGTCATTTTCAAGGTGCGCTGGGTCCAGCTGTGCAATGCTGTAAGGCCATAGGCACAAACCATTACCTGCTCGGCCATAGACTGAGACATCTGAATTCCATCCCAGGAATCCATCGTGGACACAAACAGCCCACCGCTCGCCGAAAACATGGCCGAGGTTCACGCGCGAACCCTAGATCCCCAGACGTAGCGTAGTGGAATATGATAATTTTAATGGCATCTTGTATTCTGACGAGTACACATGGAATCATACTGACATACAAGCACCTTCAAACCACTGTCCAGAGCACAAACGACACAAAATGCAAACACTTCGGTCTGCAAGCACATGTGTGTCCGTACTCAACATGGCCTCAGGCAGAGGAGTCCGGAAACCTTTGCATGGGGTTGCTCAACCAGACTCCAATCTAAACCCTAAACCCTCAACCCTGAGCCCTAAACTAAACCCTCAACCCTCAACCCTAAACCCTCAACCCGAGACCCTCAACCCTAGACCCTAGACTCTCAACCCTAAACCCTAAGCCAAACCCTAAACCCTAGTAGCAACCCTGAAGACAAAGACCGAGCTTCCGATGCTCCGGTGCTGGGAGGAGGCGTCCGGCGTATCACAGGCAATGCCCGCCGTGGGCACAGGACCATCGATGCTCCTTTCAGGGTTTAGGGTTTAGGGTTGTAGGGTTTAGGGTTTAGGGTTTAGGGTTTAGGGTTTAGGGTTTAGGGTTTAGGGTTTAGGGTTTAGGGTTTAGGGTTTAGGGTTTAGGTTCCTAGGACATCCTCCTTTTTAGGATTCAAGGTTTATGGTTGCGAGTTTAGGGTTTGCGGTGATTTGGTTCCAGGCCTCTAAGGGTTTAGGGTTTGGGGTTTGGGGTGAGGAGCATGCCCAGTGCGTGTTTCACTCACTGCAGGAGAGCAGAGGTCATGGCCCGCGCACGGGGGCACCCCCTTAGAATTCAGGGCACCCTTTCCCCACCTCTTCCTTTGGGTGTAGTGTTTCAGGGCTCAGGCTGCCAGTGATAGTCGAGCCCGAGTTTCGTTGTGTCCTGGATGACGTTCCACAGCGCATCCTGATCCTCGTCTATCCCCGCCAGCCCCAGCCCGCCATGGCACTATTTCTGAGCTTGCAGGGTTTGGCGGTGTATGGGCAGAAGGCTGCATCAGGCTTAATGAGGCTTAAATAGGGCCTCATCGGGCTTATTAGATTCATACGGCTCGTGCTTAGGGTTCGGGGTATGAAAGCTAGGGTCGTAACCATGCAAGTCGCCTGCGACCCTGAGAACCTGCCAGCGGAACAGCCGAAAAGGCCAGGGTCCAGGGTTAGGGTTTAGGACTCAAGTACCCTAAACCCTAAACCCTAAACCCTAAACCCTAAACCCTAAACCCTAAACCCCCAGCCCGAAGACTTTGGCTCAAAACCTGAACCAGGCGACGGTGAGTCTCTTGTTCTCGGTTTGTGCCGCCATTTGGGTGCTTGGGCCAAAGGCATGCCGAATTTACAAGAGCGGCTTAGGGTTTAGGGTTGAGGGTTGAGGGTTTAGGGTGGGCGTTTAGGGTTTTAAGGGTTTAGGGTTTAGGGTCTAGGGTTTTGGGTTTAGGGTCTAGGGTTTAGGGTTTAGGGTTTAGGGGTTAGGGTTTAGGGTTTAGGGTAGGGTTAGGGTTTAGGGTTTAGGATCACATGGACGCGACAGAGAACATGCTCCCATTGTCTCAGGAGCTATCAAGATCAATGTGGCAGGGCCTGACTCCCATGTCATTTTTGCAACTGCCCTTGAGGACTAGCCCTTTTTTGCATCTGGACTCCTTGCTGCCAGGCTGCAGGCAATGACCAGCTGCTAAACAGAAGGCCACCACACAATTAATTAGGGAGCTAGCCCTAAATCCTAAACCCTACACCCTAAACCCGAAACCCTCTGAACCATCGAAGCCTAGACCCTCTAAACCCTCTAAACCCTCTAAACCCTCCAAACCCTCCAAACTCTCTAAACCCTCTAAACCCTCTAAACCCTCTTAAACCCTCTAAACCCTCTTAAACCCTCCAAACCCTCTAAACCCTCCAAACCCTCTAAACCCTCTAAACCCTCTAAACCCTCTAAACCCTCCAAACCCTCTAAACCCTCTAAACCCTACACCCCCTAAACCCTGCACCCTAAACCCTAACCCTCCAAACCCCCTAAACCCTACAGGGCTACAGGGGCAAAACCCTAAACCCTAAACCCTAAACCCTAAGCTTGTCCAGGCCTGCTCCCCGCGCACGCGGATGAGCCCCTGGGTCTTCAAAGTGCGGCCGGTGGGCCTGGTAGTGAAGACCTGCAGGGCCGGGATGGCTTTGGGTTTGGGGTTTAGAGTTGAGGGTTTGGGGTTTGGGGTTTAGGGTTTAGGGTTTGGGGTTTAGGGTTTGGGGTTTAGGGTTTAGGGCTCTTCGAACACAGCGTAGAATAACACCCCTCCCCCTAAACCCTAAACCCCAAACCCTAAACCCTAAACCGCCTAAACCCTGGAAAGCCAAGGGCAGATTGAGCGGAGCAGCCGTGCAGCTGCTCTGCTCCAGGCCGCCATCCAGCTGCACCTCCGGGGTTTAGGGTTTAGGGTTTAGGGTTTAGGGCAGAAGGCGACCTCATCCTGGCAAATGTAGACTCTACCAGGAATGTGATGCTCTCAGTCTGAGCGGAGGCACTGCATACTCCCTATTGCATTCAAGGCCGAAAAACAAACCCTAAACCTTAAACCCTCAACCCTCAACCCTTCCAAAAAAAACTTCAGCCTAACTGAGCTCGAGACCCCTTTTTTGCAATCAGGCCCCCACTACCACCCTCTACCTTCAACCCAAAACCCTAAACCCCAGGCCCTAACTCATGGAACCACCACAGCCCCGAATCCCTTTAGGGTTGAGGGTTTAGGGTTTAGGGTTTAGGGTTTAGGGTTTAGGGTTTAGGGTTTAGGTTTGAGGCCCTAACCACAGCCCGAATCCCAAAACCGAAGCCGCTTTGATCAAGCGACGAAAGGAGGGACCCTCAAAAGGCACCTGAGGGGTCACTTAGGGGCTGTTTAGGGGCTAAAACGGTGGGGCTATGTAAAGTGTATATAGTGGTTGTATGGGGGAACAAGATTAAGGGTCCCTTCTAGGGTTTAGGGTTTAGGGTTTAGGGTTTAGGGTTTAGGGTTTAGGGTTTAGGGTTTAGGGTTTAGGGTTTAGGGTTTAGGGTTTAGGGTTTAGGGTTTAGGGTTTAGGGCTACTTAGGATTACAGGGTCCCATTTGGGGCTCCCTCCTTGTACCCCTTAATTTGAGATAGTTGGGACGAGGGGCCGAGTAGGTGGAGCCATCCTGGTCCCTCCACATCCCAATCCTTGGCAGCCCGGCTGCTGGGGTAGGGGTTTAGGGTTTAGGGTTTAGGGTTTAGGGTTTAGGGTTTAGGGTTTAGGGTTTAGGGTTTAGGGTTTAGGGTTTAGGGTTCAGGGTTCAGGGTTCAGGGTTTAGGGTTTAGGGTTTAGGGTTTAGGGTTTAGGGTTTAGGGTTTAGGGTTTAGGGTTTAGGGTTTAGGGTTTAGGGTAGTTTAGGGTTTAGGGTTTAGGGTTGAGGGTTGAGGGTTGAGGGTTGAGGGTTGAGGGTTGAGGGCATATACCATGACTGTATCGCGAAATAGTAGAACCCTTACTTCAGGAACCCCAAAGGGTACCCCTATTTTCGAAAGCCCCCCATAGAAGCATCAATTCTGACGGGGGAGGGTTTGGGAGGTTTGGGGCATGAAGAAAGTCCGAAAGAAGGCGCCCAAGAAATTCACACCCCGAGCCAAAGTCCACCCTAAACCCTAAACCCTAAACCCTAAACCCTAAACCCTACACCCTAAACCCTAAACCCCGCGCCAAAGTCGAGGCACACCAGGTCCAGCATGGCAAGGTTGTGACATCGGACCTGGTCCTGGCCGTTTGGTGGATCAAGGGCTTGGGGGGTCTCTGTTGCGATGCCCCCCCAAGCCCCCTCTCCCCCCCCCCCAAACCCTAAACCCTAAACCCTAAACCCTGTATTCCGGGTGCCTAAGAGTGGGATGGGTGGTTGGGCTGGAGCGGCTGTCGGGCTTGCTAGGGGCCTCAAAAAAAAACACATAAACGTAAGGATTCCACTATTGGGGTATAAGGGCCCCTATAAGGGGGATTCCGAAAAGCCCTGTTTGTAGGATCCTTATGTTTATGTGGTTTTTGGTGCCCCTACTTGCGGACGCTGAGTGCAGTCAGGGCACCTGCGTGGACAGCTTGCCTCAGAATTGGGGCTTTCGGGGACTTCGAGGCTGAAGTGCTCTGGAGTGGGGCTTAGGGTTTAGGGTTTAGGGTTTAGGGTTTAGGGTTTAGGGTTTAGGGTTTAGGGTTTAGGGTTAGGGTCTAGGGTTTAGGGTTTAGGGTTTTTGGTTTAGGGGACCATGTGGGTGGTTGTCAAAATTATGATCCCTCTTGGGGTACCCTAAATACTAGGTGCCGTAATATTGCAGGGGCCCAAAAAGGGGACCATATCTTGACCACCACCCAGTGTAGCACCCCACCTGATTTTCGGCCAAGAGCAAGAGGCCCAGACTGCTGAGCTCCGGGCCCTTCTCGCTCCAACCTGAAGCTTCCCCCAGCAAAAACCGCTTTGGGGGTTTGCGATTTGAAGGGGCACCTTCTTGGGGGTCTTAGCACTTGTTTCGCAGTGCTGGCAGGGAGGGTTGAGGGTTTAGGGTTAAGCTGAGTAGGGAATGAGGGAGTGAGGCACCCTAGAAACTCCGATAAAGGGCATATATAGATATGTATATATATATATATATATGCCCGAATTCCCTCATAAACGATTCCCGAAACCCAGGGTGACAACTTCGAAGCCAAGAAGCAGAGGGCGGGCAGCGACTCCTTGCTCTTCCTCCCTCCACCTTCGGCGGTTCCGGCATCCGTGTCCAACTGCTTACTTCTCCAATGACCAAGGGGTAAAAAGGTTAAACTTTAATATTCCTACTAAAAAAGGAAACCCAAAAAGTGTAAAGTTCAGCTAAAGCCGAAGTAAGACTGTTCTTCATTCTGCTGGCACATAGACTTGGGCTCTTGAAGGGACCTCGTGCTGCCACAATAGGGTTGACAAAGCAAAGATGCCGTCTCCTTCTGGCGGCAACTTACGGCAAGTTCCTCACAAGGACCCCAGCAAATTGCGGTTTGGAGCCCCAGAGCACCCAACCTAGCTTGTGTGGCGCCGCAGGCATCGCTTTGTGCCCGGGGGGGCGACCGGGGAAGATTGACTTCACCCCAGTGAAACGTAAAGGGTCGGGTGACCTTGTGGCCGGAGGATCTCGAAAACCCCCCACGACTTCCAAAACCGCATAATTCAGGAATAGTCCGTAAATGCTTTTCAGGATCTGACTATGGCTTAGGGGGGAAGCGCATTCCTTCAGGGCTACTCGGAGACCCGTACCCTGAATTTCTTTGTGGGCTCGTGAGTCTGGGGTCTTTCCCTTGGCTAGGTAGAAAGAGATCTTGGGACTTGCTTTTTGCAACGTCCAAGCGCCCCCAACGTCCTACCAGGATGGCTCTTCAAACCCTCTGAACGAAATATTCCTGAACATGACGCCTCTTAAACCCAATCAGGGTAAAAATATCTAAAATGTCCCAAGGAGGGTCTACCACAACCCGAAAAAGTAAGGGAAAATATGTAACATGTCCCAAGAAGGGTCTACCTAGCCTATAAGTCCTGGTGTTCGAGCCGAAACGAGGCAGACCATGAACCTGCAAAGCTGACGTGCCTTGCTCAGCATCTACTCTGCGGAGCCTTGGGTTTGTTTAGGGTTTAGGGTTTGGGGTTTAGGGATTAGGGTTAAGGGCTTGGGGTTTGGGGTTTAGGGTTTAGGGTTTGGGGTTTGGGGTTTGGGGTTTGGGACTTGGGGTTTGGGGTTTGGGGTTTAGGGTCTAGGGAGCACCTGCCCTGGATGGATCCACCACGGCGACCACCTGGCAGGTGAAAAGACGCACGGCTCCAAGAACGGGGGGGTTTATGGCTGGTTATGGCTGAGACTACACTTGGCTGCACTCAGGAGGGTAGCTATAAATTAAACTTTTAGCTGCCTTAATAAGAAACCCAGTAAACCCAAAAAAGGTAAGGCTCTAAAGTTACAGTAAAGTACCACAAAGTACACCTCGGTAACTATACATGCAGCTGGGGCATTTGCCCTACTTACTAGTGGAGCTTTAAGTAAGCCCTATGACCACTACCACCACCCGCGTGGCTGCTGCTCTACCGCAAGTTGACAGAATATTTTCGGGACGCTTAACCACTTAGCGCATCAACGCCACCATGATCACATAGCCTTCCTTCAGGTCCGAAGGCCGTGGCTACCCAGGGGAATAGCGTGCACACGGAGTAGCCAAAACATGGCCCCTGCGTAGTCAACTTATATATCTTTAAATGTATCAACCTCTTCTAAGGAACCTTCCAAACTTGCAACTCCTCATTTCCGAAGTGCATGTCACACTACAGGCCCTGACATTTCGGGCTTCGGGCTTCGGGCTTGGACTACTTACACGCGTGACTGGGTCGGCCCTAAACCCTAAACCCTAAACCCTAAACCCGGAAACCCTGAACCCTAAACCCTAAACCCTCAACCCTAAACCCTCAACCCTAAACCCTAAGCCCTAAACCCTAAACCCTAAACCAGCCTCCAGGGACGTGTCCATGTCCCCAAGGATCTTGGGAACCACCTCCTCCGCCTTGCCGGCCTTGGCAATTGCAGGGAGTCTTTCCTTGGGGGTTTAGGGTTTAGGGTTTAGGGTTGAGGGTTTAGGGTTTAGGGTTTAGGGTTTAGGGTTGAGGGTTGAGGGTTTAGGGTTCAGGGTTCAGGGTTCAGGGTTTAGGGTTTAGCGTTCAGGGTTTAGGGTTTAGGGTTGCGGGTTTTGGGTTCAGGGTTTAGAGTTTAGGGGTAGGGGAGGTTCGGGGGTGCGACTCTGACGCTCGGCAGACGGCACTCAAGATTCTCAGATCTGGCAGCAAGGGCGCCTTTTCGCATGATCCGATCTCGGCCTTCTCTTCTCTTCCGTCTAAGGGTGCATCGCTGAAAGTCTTAGGTCTGCAGCTTTGATATTTCTGAGGTCTCTCAACGCATGGAATGCTGGCTGCTGACGGTGACTAGGTTGCCATACCTTATCATCCTTTGAACCCAGGTACTTGGTTTTGAGAGACTGAAAAGCTCTTGCGAAGGCCAATGTGCCAGGTACGCTCTCGCAAAACTTCCTGCGAAAGGTCTAGACCTTGCACACGTCCTGCAAGGTTCGGTGTCGACAATGTTGCGTCCCTACCTCACCCCCCTCTACATGCTGTAGCCGTGCGAAGTACCTTTGCAAGTCTCTGTGTTGTTCCTAGAACTGGGCAACACGGACTGCAAATATGCCGACACCATGACATTGCGTGCAGTAGACCAGCGCGGCCCCTTCTTGTTCTCTTGTTCCACAGCACACATGGCAGCAGCCTGCACAATGCTTCCTGAGCCGGGGCGTTCCCAAAGTTACCACCAGTTTTGCTCCTCATCGGTTTTACGTACCCAAAACATGTAGCATCTCTCTTCACGAGCCCAGGCTTGCCAGGGGTTCCTTCTGCACTGCCCATTGGCTACCTGGCAGCTTCGAGTTGTCGCCACCGAGCAGCAACGTCAGAAAGTTCAAGCGACGTGTCACGACGTGTCACGTCTGGCCCCGTGTCCCTCGTGCAGCAACGGCACTACGGAAACGAGCGGTCGGAAATACACGATGAAGATCAATGAAGCCAGCTAAATCGGACCTCTGATCTGCAGAACAGATCTGCAAACGGCGCACCACACTCCATGCTCGGCCCTAGAACTGCAGACGCAAGGTACTGAATCCCCCAATGTACCACAGGCCATCTGAGACTTCGATGCTGCCGCTTGAGATCTTTCCTGATGCGGGCTCACGCCGCGCGTGGCCCAGGATGCACCATGAGTGCAGACTTGCTTTACACGACACAACCCGGATCCTAGGATTGCCAGCAGCTTGCAGAGGCTCCATGGAGACACTTACAAGATCTTACAAGATTCTTTGGTAGTCGCCTAGCCATACACAATCTCAACGTGCTTTGGGCTATGTCTGACGTAAAACAAGTCCGCGACAGTGTCCATCCAACGTCAAAAACATGCCGAAGGTATCCCAAGCCTGCTTGGATGAAACGAAACGAAACGAATGCCCCCCCCCCCCTTTTTTCTCAGCATGCCTGAACTACATGCGCAAGAGCCCCTTTGCTTGAGGATAGCTTTCGGCGAACTCCCAGTCACGATGTGCCCCACTGGTAGGGCAAGGTCCCACGCATACCGGGGGGCGCGCACAGGCATCGCCCACAAACAGGTCAAACAGCAGACATAGTCAGACAGACTGGATCAGCCATTGCAACGGCCATGAACCTGTATATTTGCTCTAACACCTCACAACAACCTGAGACCCTTAAAGGCCCTCTAAGCCCTGATTCTGGCATTCAAGTGGGGCACATCCCTCGTAACTGAGGCGTGAAACAATCCCGAGCTCCCATTCACCCTGCGAGGTGCTCCGTGCTTGGAGATGAGCTTCGAGCCCTTGGAGTTTCGGCAGAAGCGCTCGAACTCTGCGTCCAACTTCCCCAAAAGCTCGAGCACCATCCGGTGGCCAACGTCGAAGCTGGTCGGGTTGCTGCAGCTCAAGTAGAGCTTCAAGTTCATGGGAGCCTCGAGGCCGCCAAGCTCGTAATATCGGCTGCCGCGCCCGCGCAGGCGGATCTTGCCCCCGCACGCCTCATTGATCTCCTTCATGTTGATCCCGCCGCGCCCGTAGAGCTTCGGCACGAAGTCGAAAGCATCAAGGATCACGGGGTGCGGGATGAAGGAGTACTCACATACGCATGCAGCCTGGTTCCTCTTCCTCTGCTTCTTTGAGCTGTAGTCCGGAAGCTGCTCCGGATCACTGCAGGAGCACGTCGACTTTGTCGAGATCGAGTCCAAGGACGCTATCTCCTGCCTTCCTGGGCTGTCCGCCGGGAATGTTGCCAGGAAGGGCGCTGGTGTCACCAAGCCAGGCATCAGAGGCCCCCTTGAGTCCCCTGGGCGGATGGGAGCATGTGGTGCTTGGACTTGGCATGGAGTTGCCACAGGCCGGGAATCCTGACCGTGGTTTAAGCCACCAGGGCTTTGGGGCTCTCATGGGGTATGTAGGGGGCAGCTAGGGGCTCCCTAAAAGGACCAGCAGTATGGGCACTCTGCAGCAGCTACCTTGCCCTTCTTCCCCTCCTGGTCCTTCATGTGGCTCGAATTCACCCGGGAGTGAGCGTACCCCATAGCTCCGGGCCCAGCTTGCGCCTTGTTGGGGGCGGGCAACCACCGCAGCAGCTGCCCAGCGGGGGCATGTTTTTGCGAGGGGTCTGCGGCGATCTTCTGCGACGAAACGAAGCTCCCCGGTGGCGCCGGCACCTAGTTCATGGTTGGGATAGTATTAAATATTTAAACTGTTATTCCTTATTGGGTTCAAGTACCCTTGAAAATGTAACATGTTATTTTATTCCTTGTTGGGTTTAAGTACCCTTAAAGATGCAAAATGTCACCCAACCATGACAAAGGCACCCTCTTCTCTGTCGAGACGGGTGGCGGCACGGAAAAGGTGCTGCACCAATCAGGCGCAAACTGGACCAAGGATTCGTTGACACTTTTTGCAAGGCTGGCCAGAGTGTCCAAGTCACTCCTTGGCTGACTTCTGAACCCCTCCTAACGGCTTAGGCTCCTTATTATAACTTCCACAAAAACCAAAAAACCCTAAACCCTAAACCCTAAACCCTAAAGTGATAAAGTCCTCAGAGCCAGCCAGAAGAAAGCCGAGACTCTGTCCTCGGAGTGCCGCGGTTGCAGAGGGGTTCTCTGCCTCGAGACCTGGCGGTGCATCCAGTGCCAAGGGCAACTGGCGGAACTTGACAGTACCTTGGCTGACTTCCGAAACCCCCGCGGAAAAGTGTCACTTTTAGGCTGCTTATGTTGAATTTGTAGCTTCTACCAAAAACCCAAAATAAGAAGCTAAAGTCCTCAGAGCCAGCCAGAAGAAAGCCGAGGTGCTGTCCTCAACCTTCATCATCTCAATCTGCACCATGCGTCTGCGGCTCACGAACCACAGGAGTGGCGTCAGACTTGAGCCTGGAGCCATCAGTTTCGAGGCTTGCTTGCTTCGGAGCTGGGTCTCAGGGGACACAAGGGAGAAGAGAGGAGAAGGGAAGGGAAGGGAAGGGAAGAGTCCAGAAGAGAAGAGAAGAGAAGAGAAAGAGCGAACCGGCAGGTGAGATGTCAATTCCGAGGAAGCAAACTTTTCAAGACCCACGGGGCACGCATCGCCCGTGGCCCAGACGATAAACTCCGTGTTGGGGATCGAGTTCTGCGCCGCGTTTCGGCGCGCATCCTACATGTGCACAAAACGAAGGGACGGGAAACTGGCCAGCCGCATTCCGCGTTGAGGCTCCGGGCTTACATCAGAGATGAAGAAGATCAGATGGTGTCCTCGATGTTTTCCTCGACAATGTCGACGCCAATCACCTTCTGCTGCATTGTCGGCTGAGTTTCAATGGGAAGCATGCTTGAGTGCATGTGGCACCTCTGAGCAGGCAGGCGTGTAAGAAGAGCCCGGAACAGTGCGAGACAGGACTTCGCCTCCCCGCTCGGAACACGCAAGCCCTTCACACTGCGGCCTGCCTTGGAAGCCCTCTTGTGACTTAGTAAGTAGGGTTGGTAAGGTGAGTGATGGGGATTCTAATGGGGGGGTTGCGAAGTAGACTCTGGACTTAGTAACAGAGCTTCCAAGTGCCTTGGCGCAGTGACCAGCAGCACAGAGGCCAATGGTGCCAATGCCGCAGAAGATGTCCAGCAGTATCTGGGGGCGGTGGCGCGGAACTCTCTCAGTCCATGGAGAAGCACTACTGGGACCCGTGCTTATCGGTTGATTGATAGGGTTCAGGGTACATATATATATATATATGTACATGTATATATATATATATATACACCTCTTTTTTGGGGGGGTGTATAGGGTTCAGAGGGTATGTTTAGGGTTTATAGGCTTCGGAGGGCTTTGGTCTTCAACCTCACCGACTAGAACGCTCCGGCAGACGGCGAGAGCTCAGGAGCGGGCGTCGCTCTTGCGCAGCTTCAAGTACCTGGCGCCGTGCTCTACCTGCTATGTCCGGAGCAAACTGAGTGTAAACGTGCCAACCTTTGGACTTCGAAAAGCTGGCCCTCGTGGACCCCAACGCCCCGACACCCTAAACCCTAAACCCTAAACCCCTTAGCCGAGGTAAACAGATGCAGGCCGGTCCTGATCGCCGTCTCCATGAGGAAGCGGCAGGTGGTCGTGTTCGGGTTGAAGAAAGACCTCCACTTACTGTTGGTTAGTAGGGAATGAGGGAATGAGGTACCCTATACAATCCCTTCAAGGCTATAAGTAGGGGGAACCTCATTGTCAACCCCAAGACACCCTTGTGTGCATATGCTTCTGCACAGCCGCTGGGAACGTCACCCGGAGGGCCTGCTTCTCACTTGAAAAGCTGAACTGAAAGACTTAGGCTGAACAGGTAGTGGTGAGCTCTGGGCCACTGCCCGTTTCCTTTCAGGGCTCGGGATTTGCCATTTGACATCTTGGCTTGGGGGGTCCCAATCAGTCCTAATCCCTACTGCATACTGCAGGAGATATATGATGTGCTTGAGGGTCTAAGGTTGGATAGCGTCAAAAGTCCGAACTTCCTAAATCATAGGCCAGCACAGCTCACTTTCAACATAAAAGCATGGGCCAAGTCAGATAAGAATACGGAAAGAGAAAAGGCCGGCCCTCGGGACGTCACACACACACACGCACACACGCACGCACGCACACACACGCACTTATATACATATATATATACATATATATATATATATATGGCACCTTATATGTGTTACATAAACATTCGTAGACCTTCTAGGTAAGACATTGCATTTGAGATTGTGTATATATATATATATACATGCATGTATGCATGCATCCATATATATTATGAATACCGTATATATGCTTATTATACTATAGAATATCTGTATGTTGAAACATTGTGTATTAGTACTACATGTGTATAGCATATATATATATATATACATATACATACATATACATGTCTGTCTATGTATATGTACATGGATATGTATATGTCTATGTATATGTATAATGTATATATGAATGTATATGTATAATGAAATGAAAATATACTATTAAATATATATATATATATATATATATATATATTGTCTGGATGTAATATTATACTATATAAATTACTTTTGCACTACATACATACACACACATATATATAGAGAGTGATAACAACACATATATAAATATATATGCATATACATTGAGATGTGCTCTATATCTTTAAGCAACTGTGCAAACCTTTTTCTGAACCCTTCTTGGAGCCGAGGCACAGTGGGCCAACCTCCAAGTTCAGGTCCAACATCGGCATCTCGAGCCTGCCGGAAAGATCTTCAAGGCGGCTTAGGGTTTAAAGTTTAGGGTTTAGGGTTTAGGATTTAGGGTTTAGGATTTAGGGTTTAGGGCTGCTTGGGGTAGTCTTCTGTGGTCGTCTCTTGTGCGGTCACCTCTGCTTGCCGTGAAGGTGGGTAACCTTCGCGAGCAGGAACGTTCTGGGGCTTCACAAGGCCAAAGCACCCGTGGCGACCACTCAGACATGGCCACTCTCCTTTGCCGTCGGGCCCATCTGAGCCCAGGGCCACTGCATTGGGCCTCGCAGCATCCGTAACCTCCCGCAGCGCATCGCAGACTTGGGCTGCGCACTTCGCTTTGCAGAAGTTTTGGCCCCGCATGTTCCACACATCGATCGAGAAAGCTACACAGTGCTTTCGTCTGCACGTTGCATCCAAGTATGCTGAAGTTCCGGAATACTGAACGACGCAACCGGTGACTTGCCCGGCCTCATCATTAAAGATCTGAAAGATTGAGGAGATGCTGAGACCACTGGCTGCGAGCTCCGCCACCAGGGGCTCAACCTATGCACAACATCATTGCTACTGATGTTTACTAGTCTTGCTCATGGTTTGGTGGTGCGCGTAGTGTGTCTTGGTGTTGGTTGTAATACACCTGTTAACTAATTGCGGGCATGCATTTGTGACTGAGTATCTTAATGCTTGTGTATGAATACCTGCCCAGGTTTCCACCTAGCTTTCATGCAAGAGCTAAGTAGCTTCGGTGTGCATTTTGGCGGCTTCAACCTTCTGAAAGAGCCAAGGCTTTTCAGCATTCTGATTACCTGATTGTTATGAGACTCCTGGTGACGACCTGCTTCCCTCCTTTCTTGCACCAACATGTATAGGAGATGTCTAGGATGGCACATGGCTAGCAAGGCCGGGGCTCTTGCAAAGGCAGGTCTGTCCTCCTCTTTCATGGTGGTTGTTTGCAGCATCAACAGCCTGAGCCGACAAAGGCACGGCGTCTCTGGAGCTGTTGGTGGGCGGCTCTGCTGAACAACGTGCTTACTGGGGTAGGTTGTGGGGGCTATATCTAGTACATGTATATTTGGCTTTATAAAGATAATATAGGGGTTAAGGGTAGTACACAGTTTAAAAAAATGGTGCTTTTTTAGGATTATATAGGGAGTAAGGTTAATAAGAATTGAAAATTCTGTCCAAGCCTACCCCTGCTTACTCGGCGCTGGACTTCCAATGTGGCCATTCTCGCTCATGCTTCAAGATGCTTCAAGCAGTTCACGCCCGACGCATGCATCACTCACTGGTTTGTTAGTCGCGAATGGGGGGACTTCGGTACCCTGCATGATCCCTTAAAGAGCAGAACCGGCAAGATCGCCGGCATGACCGAGTGCCGCACATGTCTCCCTTGGGGTTGACACGTGCGAGCAGAGTGCGCCAGACCCCAACTCGAGCCTGGCAGTTTTGGGCGGAAACAAAGCGGGGTTTCCGAATTTAGGGGTACCTTATTGGGGTCCTTGTTTTTAAGGGGATCCTGCTATTTGGGGGCTTCTATTTTAGGGATCCCCTATTTTCGTAAACCATCAAGGGAACCCTGGCGACGATCCCAGAAACCTGCCCAACTTCAACGGAACGCCAAGCCGTCCCCAAGAGAGCGGGGCTCGATTCGCCGAACCTACACACTCTTGGGGGACTTGGGGGAGGGGGTTGATCTCGGATATGTGACGTCTGCTGTGCTGCCAACACAGCATGTCACCAGCCTTGCAGTCCTCAGCAGCCTTTACCCTGAACCCTACACTTTAATGACGCTAATGTGTCTCACGAGACTCTCAAGAATTCTGTTGGGGCTTTCTGCCTTGCGGTCGTAGATGGCGTAGCTGGACTTGGCAACAAAGGCAGCAACCTTGCAGGATTTCAGCCGCTGCAAAACTGAAACGAGTCTAGTCGAAAATTATATGGCCAATAACCTCTTTTGGTCACGAGTTCGCGGGGGGGGTTGAATGGGAGGGGCGGGGGGGTAAGGGTCCAACACCCCGACCCTGACCGTCAAGCTTCTGCTGAGGAGCCACAGCACAGAGTCGCTGCATGCATGCTGGCACCAGCCTCCAATCTCGCACAACTCGCGCACACGACGCAAGGATTTACGGGTTTGGGGGCTCATCCACAAGTGTGGGCAGGGGATGGACGTGCAAGAAGAAACCACAGAAGGGCCTAGAGCTTAGATCAAAACCTATTTGGGGGTTTAGGGTTGAGGGTGCTGAGGGCTTCCACTCAATCCTCAGCTGTCATAGATGTAGGCGTTAAAGGCCATGATCAGCTCTCGCTGCTGCGACATACCCTTTGATGTGCGGAGATTCCTACATGTACTTTTGCAAGACACGTGCGGTACTCCAGGCCAGCAACGTGGACCTAGCGGTTAGCACTGCATGATGCAGCGAGTCTCTGCTGGATTAGGAGCCCTAAACTACCCTAAACCCTAAACCCTAAACCCTAAACCCTAAGACTCAGATTCCAGGGAACTGCCGAGGCGCGGCACATCCTGCACACTGCCGATGACCTGCAGGTGGAGATACTGGAGATGCAGAAAACCCAGGGTTGTACCTTGAACCCTTGAGGTTGCACCCTTGGGTTTAGGGTTTTGGGTTTAGGGTTTGGGGTTTGGGGTTTAGGGTTTAGGGTTTAGGGTTTAGGGTTTAGGGTTTAGGGTTTAGTGTTTAGGGTGTAGGGTTTAGGGTTTAGGGTGATCCCTAAGGCAATAGAAGGGCCATAGTAGGAGTATACTAAGGGGAGCCTTTTAGGGGTGCAGCCTTAGGAGTACGAGCCTCGCCTTGCCTTAATCCCTTGAGAAGAAGCGTGATGCAACCGGCCATTTGCTCAGAAGTGAACTCACGGGGTTTAGGGTGTAGGGTTTAGGGTTTAGGGCTTGGGGTTAAGGGTTTTGTTCCCTCCTGCACAGGGTTAGGGTTTACGGGTTTTTGCCCACCCGTTTCGCAAGGGCTTACGGTTTAGGGTTTCGGGTTTAGGGTTTAGGGCTGAGGGTTTAGGGTTGAGGGTTTAGGGTTTAGGGTTTAGGGTTTAGTGTTTAGGGTGTAGGGTTTAGGGTTTAGGGTAGGGGCATCAGCCTGAGCACCATCGCCCAGAATCTTCAAGATGAAGCCCACTTCTACGACCTCAGAGGGGCTGAGGTTCAGGGTTTAGGGTTTAGGGTTTAGGGTTTAGGGTTTAGGGTTTAGGGTTTAGGGTTTAGGGTTTAGGGTTTAGGGCCTGGCTGGGGTTTGCCACCGGCCTTTAGGGTTTAGGGTCTAGGGTTTAAGGGTTTGAGGGCTTAAGGGTTTAAGGGTTTAAGGGTTTAAGAGTTTAAGGGTTTAAGGGCTTAAGGGCTTAAGGGCTTAAGGGCTTAAGGGCTTAAGGGCCTAAGGGCTTAAGGGGTTCAGGGTTTAAGGGTTTAAGAATTAAAGGGTTGAAGGGTTTATGGGTCTAAGGGTCTAAGGGTTTAGGGTGGGCCCCGGGTCATAAGTGCCTTGCAAGCGCTTGCGATGACTACGAAAGCTGCTTCCAGCAGGGGCCTCGCTAGGCGTCTCAAGCCCTAAACCCTAAACCCTAAACCCTAAGCCCTAAACCCTAAAAACTAAACCTTAAACCCTAAGCCCTAAGCCCTAAGCCCTAAGCCCTAAGCCCTAAGCCCTAAGCCCTAAGCCCTAAGCCCTAAGCCCTAAGCCCTAAGCCCTAAGCCCTAAGCCCTAAGCCCTAAGCCCTAAGCCCTAACCCGACATGGCCAGGCTGTGGGCTGCAACTTCTGCCCAGACCTCCCGGTCTCTGATTTTTCGCTAGGGGACTCCGTGCTCGTCGCGGCCAATCGTGAACCTCAGGCCGTATGGTTTAGGGCTTAGGTTTAGGGCTTAGGGTTTAGGATTTAGGGTTTAGGGTTTAGGGTTTAGGGTTTAGGGTTTAGGGTTTAGGGAGACTGATCTAGAATCAGGGTCTACCTGGGCCCTGACGCCTCTCTTTGACCGTTGAGAAACTCAGACAACTTGACCGATGAAGAGATCTGCCCTAATTCAGAAGACTACCCATTTGGGGGTTGACGATAATAAGGGACCCCTCATATGTAGCAGGATCCCCTTATACTAAGGGCCCCCATCTGAAAGCTAAGCTCGCGGCTCACACTTGTTTCTCCAGCCCCTGGCTGCATCGACACCGGCATTCATCCGACTCGCGCGAGACTGCAAGCGCGAGACTGCAAGGCCAAAACCTCAACGCCTCCTGGTACAACCGTACAAACCTTTCTACCCCCACAAGGTTTGCACAGCTGGGCCCAAAAGGTGTGGGCTTTAGGGTGGAAGTCGACTCCCGACTGGGAGCTCGGTGCACTGCATTTTCTTCACGCCGCAGGCTTCCCTGCACCCTGCAAAAAGGAGCTCACCGTCAGGGATGTCAGGTGCCCCAAACTGCAAACCCTGTTGCTGAACCAAGGTCTCTGCTGTCCTAAGCCCCTTCCCCACAACCCTCAGCCTAAACCCCGGTGAATCCACAAGCAATCCCACCCTTAAATCCTGGCCGACATCCCGCCCGAGGCTTCTCACCTCCAAGGGAGTTCTTGTGACTCCAACGCGGCTCCCTCACAGGCTTGGGGTCAAGGATCCCTTGTGGGGCCATGATTCTGATTCAGAGTCTCATGCGGTTATGTGCTTAAACATGTCTAAACTGTGGTGCGTTTGGACCCAAGGAAAAACACAGCCTCTTACCTTGTAGAGTACCCCAAGAAGCACCGAGGAGGGGACCGGAACTGAGACAAATAAGAGGACTCAAGGGTCTTCGACAATATCTTCCGCTCAGTTCCTTCTCCGTAGCTCGGGCGCTGATTAACCATCGATGGCAGCACAAGTGCTGCGACGCAGCCAAGGCTGTGCCATTGGGATACTCTCCCTGCTAAGCACTGGCATAAGCGCTTTGAAAAAGACTCATATATAGCGTCCCCTATAAACCCACATAAGGAAAATGCAACATATCCCAAGAGCCAACCTAGGGGGTTTAGGGTTTAGGGTTTGGGGTTGAGGGTTTAGGGTTTAGGCTTCTAGGGGCACCAACGGACCAACGGCTGCAGCCCTGTCCACCGCGATCTTCCCTATGGGCTGTCGCGGTAAAAATTTCACTTGTGAGTCGGCGCCTCGGGCGCAGGTGCACGGGGCAAGGCGGATCGTGTATTCTGTGTTTATTCGTATACATAAATACATATACATATTTATATTTATATTTGTATTTATATTTCTATTTGCATTTCTATGAATATTTATATCTATGTTTATATTTATATTTTACTATTTCTGTGTTTTTTATGCATTTGTTTGTTTTTATTTATTCGTTTGTTCATTTACTTACTTGGATATCTATTTATGTATTCATGTATTCATATTTATTCACTTGTTCATTTACTTACTTGGTTATCTGTTGGTTGTTTGTTTGTATTAAAGGTTGCCGAACTTAGCCTGCAGAAACCAACAACTTGTTGGGTTCGTGATGTTCGCGTTCATCAACTAGTGGAGGCCTCGGCAGGATGAAGGATCCTAAACCCTAATCCCTAAACCCTAGGGGGGATGCAGGGGGGAAAGCGCCGCGCCCGAGTCTTGGCTTCACGCCTTCACTCTTGGCACTGGGCACAGGTTGAGTTGGGGCATGGGTTGGGATGTCCCCCTTTTTCTAACAGTCCTTACTAGGGTTTAGGGTTTACGGTTTACAGCCCTTCAAAAGGGATTATAATGGGGGGGTACTGTTGTCCCTAGTAAGGACTCTTCGTAATAGGGAGGAACATGCCAAGGCATGGGCTCTCCGGTACTTCACAACCGACTCTTCAAGGCCGTTCACAGAGATGCCCATGGCTAAAACGAGGTCGCATATGGCCCCTTGTCGGCCATTTTCTGTGAGGAACCATCCTCCTCGTTTCTTCGGAGGGGGAGAAGGGTTGAGGGTTGAGGGTTTCGGGTTTAGGATTGAGGGTTTAGGGTTTAGGGTTTAGGGTTTAGGGCTTAGGGTTTAGGGTTTAGGTCTGGGCACATGGGGGGTGCTCCCCCCCTTTCAGATGCCCACTTCGTACCACTCGCTGGCACGACCACCCATGTCATCGCTGCTGTCTTCCGACCCGCGCTCCGACATGCAAATCAGCTTGTCCTGAGCTCTGGAGGGTTTAGGGTTTAGGGTTTAGGGTTTAGGGTTTAGGGTTTAGGGTTTAGGGTTTAGGGTTTAGGGTTT